CAATAATTCCTGACACTGTCAGCGGTTGTGGAAATGTGGCATGCAATACATTCAGTGTCAGGAATTTACACTGAATGCCCCAAATGGCCATGACACTTGGGTGTGTGTGTGCGCTCATGTTTAAAGTGCAAGGGGTTTCCCCTTAAACTACCAGAGAGAGTTGAAAGCTTTCCAAAACAAAACTTGGGGATTTTTGAGATAACCCCACGTTGGTAAACTTTCAAACAAAAAAAGCAACTGCATTCAACAATGGAACCGCGCCTGGCTGACATTACACTCAGCCACATGGCACGCTTTTGTTATTGCCTTGCTTGTTTAACAACTGGATAAGTAAATTTCTCCTCCGACTCGTTACACGCTATTTTGTTGAGTTGACTCAGATGCGCCTACATCACACGGCTTGGCCCCGAGCCAGATTCAGGCGTCTAATGAGGCCAGGCGTCTCAGGGGTTTTGTTCCCGCACTTCGTGGCAAAGAGCCGGTGGAAAAAAAACCTATCCCTCACACGAGGATCGTGCGCTGGCTCGGATTGTGGCAGTGGAAGAGGGGTATGGGCTCATTGACTTTGCCCGTGTACTCATTCATGCCAGCTCGACTGAGCCAACCCAACACCGACTGGGCTCGGCGAGCCGAGTGTTAGGGAACTCGTACGGTGCGAAAGAAGTTCAACATACATACAACAACAACGCGGTTTGCGTATGGAGCCACGCGCTGTCACCGGCCTCGGCAAGGGTCGTGATCTCATGGGGTGAAATCACTCTGTTACATTTTCCAGCCATGTTATTAAAATACATGTCAAGAGCATTGCAAAGGTAACAGACTTTAACTTAGAACAGCCGAACTCTATCGACGCCTGTCAAATGCGTTTAAAACAAGTTGTAGAAAAATATAGCTCCCTAACTTTCACCCTCGGTGTGGTGGGTGTGTAGGGAGGGCCTGCACCCGCACAGCCCCGTAGCTTCTGGGTGGCTCGGCTTGGCACGGCTTGGCTCGGCTTGGCACGGCTTGGCTGGCAGTCGTCATGGGGACGGAGCACAAATCACCTTCAGCTGCCTCCTCGCGAGTTATCCTGATATCCATGCTCATTGCCCTTGAGAGTTTGACAGTCTCATTCCCCCGGGTCACCAAGAGCCAATTCAACGCACCCTGCTCTACCCATCAAACTCGCAATGTGACTATTGCTCGATTTTCTGCTGGTTAGATTTGTTCGTTGACACCGAATCCTTGATGTGTTTATCATACTGTATGAATATATCTGAAGGGCTGTCAAAAAGTTTTCAATGTCGGATGTTGAATATAACAGTCTTAAATACAGTTCCTCTTGTAATGGTTTGGGAATTACATAAAAATACCCTATCATGCCATGACGTTACAAAATAAAATACGAAGACAATTTATATTCTTCACATCTGTCCCTACAATTATATATTTACACATCTCATTAATAACAATGCATTCTTGGAGTGCACAATTTCAGCAGCAATGGTTTAACGCAAGCAACCTGGACCGGTTTTGGCAGTGTCACATCAGAAAGGTATTTTTTTTTGTTTAATGCCAAGAGCAAACTTCGAGAAGTGCCCTTTAAAAAAAAAACCTGCTATTATGAAATATTCTAATATTGTGGTAAAATATATACTGTGAGTAAACCTGGACATTCCCATCCCGAAAGCCAACGGGCTTCCCCTTCACCACCAGAAAGCGTTGTCAGCTTTCCAGATGTTCTGACTTCAAGCTTTTTTAGCTAACAGCACGTTGTCAAACCTTCATTCTTCTTTTTTTCTTTCAAGAACATAACCAACCGTGTGTGGTTGATAATACACTCAGCCATACGGCATGTTTTTGTTATTGCCTTGCTCGTTCCACATCTGGAGAAGGTTAAAAATAAACATTATATTACATCCGTGTATTGTAAGCAGAGGAGACTTTCATATGATAAGTAACTAAACCTCACTTTATTGAGCAGGGTGGATTGGCATTGATGTGGTTAATAGTTACATGTATCCATGGTGACAAACAGAGTGGTGTTAAAACCACCCAAACCGAGCAGTTAACACCTACATTTTAAAAAGGTTACTTACTAGATTACACCCGAGACAGCCCCAGGTGCCATGGGTTGTCTGACTGAGATGATTGGCAGATGAACCAGCTATGCCCCCCTGTTGTGCCAACTTGTCGTGTTATCGCCGCACGGCGCTCCGCTCGTTGTTGTGAGCGTCGCTCCTCTGTCCTGTTGTTGCTGGAGGACGGCTGCCGACCTTGACACCGCTGGTTTCAATGATCGGCAAGTCAACTCAGATCCACATCCTCATGTACCATTTCAGTCCATCTCTTCACCGGCGCGTTTAACAGAAGCTGCTTGGCCATGCGGTGGCTGGGCATGCGGGGCTACGTGACCCAGCCAACGCAGCCCGCTTTGCCAGAGGAGCTCACCGATGGGACTGTGTCCAGATCTTAAAAGAATCTGTGAGCTCCTCGAACAATCCAGTCTGATACGGAGACAAAAGCCAAATATAATTAATATAACCTTATCAGGCTGTCGGGGCAAGTGCCGTTCGCGAGCAATCCCGGCCCTCATAGGTGCTCGCTAAGAGCACTTGATCTAACAGTATGTTAAAGTCTATTTGGGGGATCTGTGTCTTTGTAGCGTGGTTGTCATGAATGATGAGAGCCAGGTGAAGGAGAGAGAGCCAGGGGGAGGAGCGATTATGAGTTTTCGTGGCATGTCCACATGCCACTCCGGGTAACAGTCAACAGACCCAGGCACGGCGCAACACGATATTGGTTGCCTTGTATGTATTCACGTGCAATTGTTTATTCATTTAAACATTTACTATAATTTTGTTGGACTTGTGTGTTTAAAAGGGTGCTATATAAAATTGAACACTAAATTCAATTAATAAAGGCACATCTCAAGTTTATTTTTGGAAGAATTTTATAAAATACAGAAAAATGTTGATAAAAGTGCTGATGAAGGCGGTTTGTTTTCACTCTCTTTCATCACGCAGCCATGCCCCATTGCCACACGTGAACAGAGCACAGCATTTAATGTTTCCGCTGTTACTTGGGCACTAAAAGTGTACGGTTACACCAAGCAACAAACGTCACTGGTCTACAAATACATATGTAAAGCCCGAGGTAACCTGGGTTCAACACCTTTGCCGCTGCTAGGTTTGACATTGGACACTTGGATCCTGTGCGTGGAGTGGGGTGTGCGGTGTAACTACATCAGAGCCGTAGAGTCAGCATATGCCCTGAGCTGTTGTCGATATCGAGTTATTCAGACGATATTACGTTAATGTCTAATTCACTGCCGAATGTACCGTGTTGAGTATAAACACCACTTAATTTTCAGTGTTTTGTGTCATGGGGTGCTGTTATCTCCTTTATTATAAACATAACTTCACTTAAACTTGGCCATTGTGCCAAATAGATTATCGTAAAATGTGTTTGTCCACAATCCACCTGTTGGCATGAAACTTGGCAGGAACACATGCACATGCTGGTACCACGGTAGGCTGCAATCATTCAACCGAGGAAGAGCAAAACTTCACGAACTCTATCCTAAAGCCCTCTCGTCCGTGGCCAGCAATCGTCGGCGTTGGCATTTAACTGCTGCACCGCAAGAATAGATCTGGTGGTACCTTTCGAGGCGTTTAGAGGACCACAGCAGTCACGGGGTCGTCAATAACAGGATCTGACAAGGCGATCAGGCCCGTGACTGTTTTGAGTTTCAGAGTTGAAAACTGGCAACAAGCCCCATGCGCTGCTGAGGCTTTACACAGCGTTGTGTGCGTTAAATGTTGTCACGTGCTGGACGGTATGTTATTTTGTTTTACTGGAAAAGCATATTAAATGTTGATGAATTATCTAACGAGTATTATAGAATTAAACCATTGAAATATATGTACTGATAGACTCACAATACGGCTGTTTTATTTCGTAGTACAGTATGTATTTTAAGTGCACACTATGCCTTGGAAATCCAGTAGTGACAGTAAATTGTAAACGTGACAATTTTATTTCTTCAGTTTTTTTTTCATTTAAAACATAATTTTCGGATTGATAATCGACTTTGGAGGGTCAATTCGCGGAAATAAAATGTGTGTTGTGGACCCTCCACCACCCATCCATCAATTTTATCGCAGTAATTCCTGCACAGTTGGAAAAACCCACGGGCAGTCAGTCAGGTTCCAGCAGCAGCAGCAGCGGTGGCGGGCTCCTTGACGCCGTGATCACGCAGCAAATTATGAATGCCTCATACCGTACTCATGACATTGTTTAGCGGCTGAACACCAAAAGCTCGGGTCCAACAGCAGCAGCAGCGGCATCATCAGTAGCAGCATCATCATCAGCAGCATCATCATCAGCATCATCACCATCAGCATCATCAGTAGCAGCAGCATCTGCAGCATCATCAGCATCATTATCATCAGCAGCAGCATCATTATCATCAGCATCATCAGCAGAATCATCAGCATCATCATCAGCAGCATCATTATCAGCAGCAGCAGCAGCATCATTATCATCAGCAGAATCATCAGCATCAACATCATCAGCATCATCAGCAGCAGCATCATCATCAGTAGCATCAGCAGCAGCAGCATCATCATCATCAGCAGCATCATTAGCATCAGCATCATCAGCAGAATCATCAGCATCAAAATCATCAGCATCATCATCATCAGCATCATCATCAGTAGCATCATCAGCAGCATCATCATCAGCAGCAGCAGCAGCAGCATCATTATCATCAGCATTATCAGCAGAATCATCAGCATCATCATCATCAGCATCAACATCATCAGCAGAATCATCAGCATCAACATCATCAGCAGAATCATCAGCATCAACATCATCAGCAGAATCATCAGCATCAACATCATCAGCAGAATCATCAGCATCAACATCATCAGCAAAATCATCATCATCAGCAAAATCATCATCATCAGCAAAATCATCATCATCAGCAGCAGCATCATCAGCAGCAGCGCTCGTGGCGGCTCAACGAGCCCCAGCGTGGCGCTGAACCCCCCGGGTGCGAGCGGGTGGGCGCGCGTCCCTCGGCTGTCATCCGCCGCCGCTTGAGCCCCCCACCCCTGCCACCCCCTCCGATAAAACAGTCGGCGGCTTCACGAATCTCTCCCGGATCGTCGTCGTACTTTCGCAAGAAGACGGAAACAACAACAACCGAGAGTGTGTGGCAGTGAAGATTAGTGAAGATCGTAGAGACTCGGCAGAGCGGCACCATGAGCAGCCACAACAGCCTCAACCTCCTCCACGTACGGGCCTCGCCTTCGCCTCTTTCACCACCGTTGCAGTCCTCTCGGCAACAGCGATTGTGTTTACCCCCCCATAGCTTGCTTGCGGATTAAGGAGCTCGTTACGCACACGGTGCTGTGGACATTGTACGGCGCTGTGGTTGGTTTGTATTGTGGTTGCGTGTTTGGCTGGGATCGGCTACTAGGCCCGAGTCGAGCCTCGTTCACTGCTAACTGCACTGTCGTTATTCGCGGTTGTTGTTGTTGCTGCTGCACACTAATTAGCTTCATTAAGATGTTTCCCCGAACGTGTCGTTCATCTCGAGTCGGTATCATTCATCGCAGGGTGGTGAATTCGTGCAACTGAAAGCGCCTCACGCCCCGGGGGCCGCGTTCAGGCGAGGCCGACGCTTGAGGCCGCGGCTAGGCCGCCACTGGCACCTTGCCGCGACTCGGGGAGTAACATTCGTGATTAAACTGCGGTAGTTGTACATTCACATCGGTAGATTAGCGACTAAACACGAAAAGAGCATCGCCTTCAGCACGCGGCGTTGTTGAGCAACACCACCAACAACTCCAAAGATACCCAAGACTAACGATAATGTGTGGAGTTAGTGTTGTACATATTACAGTACAGTGTATGTGATTTTGCATCAAACCAGTTGGACCCATATTCCTTGCCTCCAGCATCTGGCAATTTACCACCAACATTGATTCAAGAAGGACTGACCACCTGCTGATGAGGCACTGAATGTTGAAACTGCTCCAGTTTTGCTGATGTTGACCGTGCAGCTTATGGGATTTGTTCAACACAAATGAGCCATGCTAGGCGCATGATTTTAAACGAAAAAAAAACGCGATCTTATTCCTTAATAATGTAACGTTTTAGTTCAAACTCATTGTCATTAGAGACCGAAATTCGGTTTCGGCGACGAACGTTGGCAAATCGCCTCTTTCGGCATACTTCAGGTTTCGACCGAAAGTAAATTTTAAACCTTCGGTCTGGTTTTGGTTTCGGCCGAAACCAGAAATTCAGTTTCGGCCGGCCTCTACGTGTCATCAATGTATGAATTAATGTTTAGGAGGCAGTGAATCGTGCATGGATGAATCCAGCTGGGCTCGGTGGTGTGTCTGGCAGGCGCAATGCGGCTACGACTCCGAGCTGAGCGAGTGTGGGAGCGAAGTGGACCCATCTGAACGACAGGACCCCAGACGGTATGAAATAGTTGCACTTAGATTTAGAATGTTATCACACCGATGTATGTATGTCAAACTGCTTTCACACCGTACGTAGCCAACCATGCTCATCGGAGGTGCGGGGAAGTAAAGCAAACTAAGTACAAAAAGCATGCGGTGCATGCAGATGCTGTATTTATATATGAATTATAAAAATGACAAACACGCCAGCATTTGACACACTTTCTTAACTGGACTCACACATTGTGTGTTGCACTGCCGCATATGAGTTTAAAATGGGGTGCAACTGATTTATCGAAAACTTGTTTCATCGATCATACCGAAGCATAGGTTTATGCAGAATATATAAATGTTTTCAAACTATTGAACAAACCCCATGCCAACTCATGCATGATTGCTGCCATGAGATGAGCATTTATAGGCAGCTTGGGCATTATAGATGGGCACAAGGTAGGAAGGCAGGTTGGCCAAATATCTTCCTTAGTACCTATATGTCTATTTAGTTTTACTTGGTATATGCCTATTTGTTGTCCACATTTTATAAAACTATTTACTCTGTTGATCTAAGTGGCACGGGTTATCAGCCTGAACACTTGCAATCTACAGAATGTAAATATGTTTCATTGTCACTATGATACCTCCTTTACCAGTGGCAAAATATAGTAATAGGTTTTTACCCTTTCAACTGGTACAAAACTGACACCTTTATACAAGGGATCATGTTTTGCAATGACCACAACACAAGCAGTCAAAATGCAAACAAAAAGAAACAACTCTGATAATGATAGGTGTCAGTTTTGTACCAGTTGAAAGGGTAAAAACCTATTACTACATTTTGCCACTGGTAAAGGAGGTCTCATAGTGTTAATGCTTGCCCCGAACTCTCAATACTCTGATAGTGCGCTGTTTTTGAGTTGTACGCCTTTTGGCGTCATCTGGTCCTACACCAATGGAGACTAGGCTCTAAGAAAAGCTGTCTCGGGTGTGGACCAATACACTTAAAGGACAGTGCATATCATTATCAGAGTTGTTTCTTTTTGTTTGCATTTTGACTGCTTGTGTTGTGGTTATTGCAAACATGATCTTTTGTATAAAGGTGTCAGTTTTGTACCAGTTGAAAGGGTAAAAACCTATTACTAAGTTTCATTGTCTTCACTTTTTAAAGACATAGCCCTTGTTCTTCAATCGTTAACTGCTAACAGCAGCTTGTCCTTATCATGACCCCCAAGTCCTGTTTTGAAGTTTAACTGCATGATATATTGACTTTCGCGTTTCCCTTGGAATTTGCCCTGGATTGCACTGCCATAATTGTTTGCATTATCTTCCCATTTTGTTTCACTCCTTTACATGCATAATGACACCCTGGATTTGGGTGTCATTATGCATCTGAAATAGTTTTTTTTGGTGTTATATTTGACTGTTCATTCTCATCACTGCCTTTTCTACTTGTTTTTATCCTGCCTGTTTTATGTACATACGTAAAATACATCCTGTTCTTACTTTATTCAGTGCTTTAGTCCATGAAACTCCTAATGATGCATGTCAAAAAGTACTGTCTTTTCTTTCAGGCTTAAGAAAAATGATCCTTTATTCAAGAAGCCGTTTGCGAAGAATCGCAACTGCAAACTTGTACCCAAAAGCTTTGCCGCACAGGAAAATGACAGGTGGGTCCCCGGCTGAGAGACGCAGCTCTGTGCCTCTTGAAAACATACAATCGCGTTCTGTCACTTGGTGTGCAAGTGTGTGTGATAATGCATTTGCTCGTGTTAGAATGTGTTTGGCTGTAAGGCAATTATGGTATGAAAATGAGTGCACTGTGTTTTGCCTTCTAGTGACCCCACATTTGACTTACTGTTTAGTCATGCATACTCGTGGTGATTGATTTTGCTTGCTTTACCCAGCCTCAGTCATAGGGATGAGAAGAGAGGCTATAGGTACGAGGGTTTTAATGGTTTTGGCCTCCATAGGAAATAGTTTAACAGGATGGCCATCGGAGATGCTGAGAACAGTCTATTTAGACAAAAGGTGTGGTCTGTATCTTTTGGGTATGCAGGTTTTAATGGCAACAGGATGGATAATACACATTTTACATGATAACAAATGTTGTTAATAGCTTCAAAAAGTCAAATAGTCTCCACTTATTCGTCATCATTGTCAACACATGCCTGCAATCGTCTCCAGATGGTCTCCAGAGCCCGGAGACACATTTCTTGTGGTATTGTTGCAAATTCTCAGAAGTGTTCACATTTTTTTGAAGCACCCTGTATTATGAGTTAGCACAATACAGACATGATTTGTGTGCATGTGTGGTGCATACCAGCCATTCTCAAATGGTTTGAAACTTTCGTGACTCCAGGAATCCATACTCTGGTTCTTTTGGTAAAGTCACGTAGGTATAAAGAAGTGGCCGGGGCTAGTGATGTTAATGTGATAAATTATCCACTTCTTTATGACCCTTGGGCTACACCCATTTCAAACCTTTTAAAACAGTCTGCCTCAGCAGCAGATCATGCTTTCCCACCTGATGACGGACGCTTGTGTTGCACCCGAAACATCGTGATTTATTTTATTTTATACCTACGTGACTTTACTGAAAGCAACAAAGAGTATTCTCAAATGGCTGATGTTATGATTCCCTACATGGTTAAGTGTGGACAATTGTTAGTCGAAACTATATTTAAGCAGCATAACATATAAGGCTTGTCGAATACATATTTTGTCAGAAATGCATCATGTTCAATCACACTTGGGAGATTGTAATTTTCACGATTCTTCGTGTGTCAAATGACATTGTTTGCTACAACAGTCTTAGCAGCTTTAGCGTGTTTTTTAAATCTATGTATGTGTTTTGTATATATGTAAATATATGTAAGTATTTATGCTTTGTTTTTGTCTAAGATAAGTGAGTTTTGCACTTACGATTTGTCTAACACATGCCGTGTTTTGAATGCCTCGTGTTCCTGTGTGATCTGCAGGGAGGAGGCCAAGCATCAGCGCACACAGTTGCTCGCTATGGATGCTGTATCCTTCCACACTTCTCCTGCATTTGCCCCAGCATGAGTTCACCGGGCCAAGCTACCATTTGTCTCGGACTTAATCATCTATCTCCATCAACATAAAATGTATAATGCCAAGCTGACTCTAGGTTGGCTCCAGGCCGGTTTGTTCATTTCCTATGAACATTGAGACAACTCTACTTCATATCCCCGCTTAGCCAAGGAGATGGCACTATTACAGAATAAAATTAAATGTGAGAATGGTTGAATGGTTGAACAATAAATAGGCAAACACATTGGGTTAAAAATATTTGCTAATGCATGTTTTTGTAACTTGGGCCAATTCGTTTTCAAATGAGGTGGTGACATCATTGACCCCTTTCAACGGTTCTGTGGTTCTCTAGCTGAACAAAGCTGATGTGTTTTGGTGCCAGCTTGTGTTGAAGACATGACCGTTTTCAAAATCATGGAGACACACAAGCCTCGTTTTTGCTTCAAACTGAGCCTTAGTGCATAAACAGATGACTTTTGGCACGAGGCTTTAGTCCTGTTTTTCGGTCTGTAAGCCAACATCCATTCCCTATTTTCCAGATTCTCCTTAAAAACCCAACATGAAAAATTTGAAAAGTAAGTGCAGCTATATTATCGATAAAATAATGTCCCTGCATAAGAGGAGTGTGTTTTCCTGGGTGTTTCCTTCTCATACGAGTTAATGAAACTAATTGGGCTGCCACGTAATAACAAAAAAAGTTATAATTACATGTTATTCTACGTAATTTTCATACGTAGAATAAATTAGTTACTGTTGCAATAGGAGAATCACTATAGCACGAGCCTGAATCAACACTTGGGCCTCAAGTAGTTGAGCATGGCCGTTTCAATGCGTTAATGGAGGTGGCGACTGTCTTTGTTGCTCTGGAACGGTATTGTTGCTGCTTTTGCGATATTGTATGGTGCACACATCTGCCCGTGTTATCCATGACTTTCTACAAAGTTTTCACGACACAAGAAATTTGTCAACGACTACTTGCTCTACTACGGTGGGAAGAGGGAGGATTTCAAACGGGTCAGGTGTGTATTTATCTTGTTTGAGTAGTGTTGGTGGATTCATTGGCATGTGATGCTATAACAGCCATGAGCAGCATGCAAAGGTGCGCTGACAAACAGCAGGAAGACACAGCTCCTATCATGCTTTTGTGTGCAATCCATGTGACTACCAAATTGCATGTACAGTGCTCTCAGCCTGGTCAAGACCACACATTCTGAATATCTGAATATCCGTTGCAATATATTGTTCAGATTACCAACTCAAAAGAGCTGAAGGTGTGGCCGTTCCTTCAGGCAGCAGTAAAACAAAGTGACACCTGTGCACTGGTGGTGTCCTCATTAGAGTTTATAAATACAGCTGTATGTAACTTCTCATTCTGTTTTATTCATTACATTCATCTCTTCTTGCCCAATTTCCCCCCAGTCATGTAACATTTGTCAATGAAGTCTTTATATTCTGTACACATTCTGTAAAATGTTTTCATAGATTCTAAATATGACTGTACTGATGATGTGATGTAAGTTGTGTTACGTTTAGAGGAAGGGTTTACGTTGGTCTGTGTGGGATCGTGCATGTGATGTGTGCAGTGATCGAGACAAGACGGACATGGATGTCATCCGGGAGAATCATCGCTTCCTGTGGGAAGAGGAGGATGAGAGAGACATGACCTGGTAACACTGCTTGTCGAGCTTGCCCTACTTCCACGTTTTTTACGGCACTTGCTGCCCAAACTCAGACCCTGATGTTGCAAAAATCCATGACAATTAGTGGGAAATATGTCCTCAAACGGATGTATTTCTCCTCGGTGGAATCATTCACGCTGTAGCCGGAAATGGGCTTCTGTCCAACGAGAGTGCCTTGAGGTGACAAGCAGCGCACAGCAGCAGGAGGGGAAGCGGAGGGACAGGGTGAGACGGAGAGCTCGATTTGGCAGGTTGATGGTGCTTGCTTCAGTCAAGGAGATGTTTGTTTACATCAGAAGCTGAGAAAGTTTTTACGTCTATTCTGTTGCTCTGTGTTGGAGGCCAGGCGTTAATATGAAAATGGAGACCCTCTATAATTCCAACCTGACTGCTGCAGTCTTGGTCCCTTCTATGGTGAACAACTCCTTGAGTAGAAACACTTTGAGTCAATAGCTGAGAAGCCTTTTTCTGGTATATATTTTCAGAAATTTACGGGCTAAAACTTTTCCCCAGGATGTTAATTAAGTGCTGTTATATTCGATGGTAAAACCCCTCCTATCCATGGCACTAGTATCTCGTTAAACAAATTATACTGGGTGACCCGACATAAGAAGAGACATCATTATGGCAAAAGCCATTCTTGTAGTCATAGTTTAGGAAACATTCCTTTCGGTCTTCAGTAACAAGCGTTCACGTCTTCTCCAGATCTTATCTCAGGTGTGCTCTTGGCTGTGCTCCCTGTGATTTTGCAAAAGATGTTGGACTGCACCTCATTCCAAGTTCATTTCAGTGTCTCATTTTACTTGGGATTTTTAAACGATTAACCACTGCCAAGCTATCTACTGTGACACACACCTGGATTCCTGGAATGTGACTGTGTGTAAAGATATGCCACGCTTTATGGAATTTGGCTATAATATATGCAGTATTCGATTTTAGTGGAAATTTACAAGCTCTAGCAGTCACACTGAGTTTAAAGCTACTATATTACTTAATGTCAGAACTACATCCAACTCTATTATTATAATACCCTTGGCTAACTATATCAAAACAATGCCCTTGGCAAAAATTCCCACCATGGTTCGGTGCACGTGCATCCTTTCTGTGCATGAGAGTCACGTGGATAATAAAGCCATTAGTACGCATGCCCTAGGAAACACTCAAAACTGCAGTTTAAAACTGCCGTTCTCTCCAAACCGATCTCATTCTGAAGTCTTTAATAGTGGCTCTGACCAATCACTACGCACATTTCATGCTCGACCGGCAGTTGGGCCAAATGGCACGAGCACAGTGCAATTTAAACGAAATTACAATTTAGACAGATCGTTTAGGGGAGTTGCACTTGTTGGTGTGGGACGTGCGTGCCCCTGCATGTATTTGTGTGTTTATTCAACAGGGAAAAGAGGCTTGCCAAGAAGTACTATGATAAGATGTTCAAGGAGTACTGCATAGCTGATCTGAGCCGCTACAAAGAGAACAAGGTGAACATGTCATGCGTGAGCCTATCCCATGATACCAGCTCGGGCCTTACCAGCAGCTGCCAGGCTGATGAATCCAGTGTTGTATATATGAGCATCCTGATGTAAGAAAAGTCACTGTCCTGTAGTGATAAGTGAGATGGCACTTTATTATTTTTTCAGGCCAATTCTTTCATCCAAAGGAACATTTTATTCAACTTTGAAAGAAACATAAACAGACCAGGACAAAATTTATAAACAACGTTATCCTTTTCTGTTCCTGGGGAGTGCAGAATGGTCAATGCATCGTTCTTGCAGGCTTAGATTGTAAATTATGTTGCTGACAATCTAGAGATGTATACAAGTTAATATCTTCCCCAGGGTGTAAACCAGAAACTATAATTTATATCTCGTTTAAATGATGAGAACCCCATTACAGCAGATAGAAAATAGCACAGGCTCGAAAAACAAAAACATCTATGTATTTCATATATACAGTATTTATTACAGTATTACATGCAAATGTAAAATATTTATTCTTATTTATGAGTTTAACAATGCTTCCTTTTGTTGATGAACCATAACAGATTTCATGACACTGACCGTATGTACAATTAAATATTGAGTTTTGAGATACGAACAAATCGACTTCCGAGCGGGTCTCGAGAACGTAACCCGTTGGTAAGTCGGCAGCTGCCTGTCATAATTTTTGGCCTCTTCTATTTCAATGCTTTGCAGTTGTTAATCCGTGGAATTGTACGCTGCAGGTGGGCATGCGCTGGAGAATAGAGAAAGAGGTAATTTCTGGAAAAGGTACGTTTGTCACACCGCTTGCATCACAATGCAGTGTGGGACAGCATCCGCTTGCCCCAATAGGTGGAAGCAGGAGCGAGCTTGGGCACGTAATGTATGCCCAACCTTGCATATGAATAGATATGATGGTTCAAAAAAATGTGGTCCTGTCATAGACAGTGCTTGAAAGTAATAATAATGAAGAATCTAACGCACACAGTTTTCGTTCGTGCTCAAAAGGAGAGAGGACGATTCAGCAGGGTAGGAAAACACAGACAGGCAGGAAGGCAGCGAGAGCCATGGGGTCCTCTTTGACCTGCCAATTCTTTTTAGTGTAATGTTTATTATATTAGTATGCGTATAACATCAAGTTATTTAGATGAGATGGCTCTGTTTGTGTTTATTTCCATGGCTGTTCTGACATGCATTAATTAGCTTTAAAATTGGTAAATATTTCTATACCTGTATAACTTATTTTTGGGTAAAATTTGTTGCCATTTTATAATTATGTTATTATTATTGTGTAGCTGAATGTCCGAGAAGAGCATCGATTATTAGGAACGTTATGGTTCATGCTTCCAATTTTTTCTCTGTGATTCTATGAATTGTGATTCAGGGTCACAATTCAATGTAGGATTCGATTTTTTTTTCTCTTTTTTACTCATTTTGATTGTCTCATTTATCTGACTCATTTGTGCTGTCTTGTTCATTGCTTTAGTGTTGAAGGTAAACATTTTTTATAATTATTTTATGAAATGATTTGATGACTCACATGCCTATTCAACATTGAGTCGGTTTCTATTGAAAACAACAGTTAAAATTATAATTCTGCTTCTTAATCTCTTCGTGTAATTAACGATGATGCTGTAGATGATACAGACCCGTGCCATTTGTTGTCCTTCCCTGCACCTCCGATTAGCACGGCTGGCGACGTACGGTGCGAAATATATTCAACATTTGTAGGAAAAGTGTATTTCGTGCCCATTGCAAAGCACAAATTCAGAATATAAAAATGTTGTACAATGTAACAACTCATTTCTTTGTTTAATTGTATGCGGAAGATGTGAAGAATTCATGGCAGAATAGTGTGAGCCCTTTGGAATGGCTGAAAAGAGTGTGTGCTATGAAACCATTGTTCTTGTCATGAAGGAAGAGGAGGTCCTGATGGTGGGGTCATTTGAAGGGTAGAGGAGAGCAAACACGCGACTAAAACAAACACTTGAGAGGTTGGTAACAAACATGAACGTGATGTGATTCTATTCGTTGGATCTTTCAGTGTCTTTCGGTAAAGTCAAGTAGATAGGTTCAAAAAATAAACAAAAACTACGACTTTTCGATCGCAACGCAAGAGATCGTGTAGCGATCGAAACGGAGTTTTTTGTTTATTTTATTATTTTTTGAACCTATCTACTTGACTTTACTGAAAGACCCAAAGAATATGAATTACTGCAGTTACAAAAGCTTTAAGTCAAGATCATGTGATTCTACCATAGCAGACATTGGACGTTACATTAGTTGTAAAATTTGCCAGACAATTCTACAACTAATGCATCCTGATCTGCTCATGAATACACAGGTCTCGTTTGTATCCCGTTCACATAAAATACATTTCGATTTAAAGCTTTCGTGACTGCAGGGATTCATATTCTTGGTTCTTTCGGTAAAGTCACGTAGAAGGGAAATAATAAAATAAATTAAACAATAAATTATCACGACGTTTCGATTGCTTGTGTTGCAATCGAAACGTCGTGAGAAATGTGTATTTATTTATTTTATTATTTCCCTTTTACGTGACTTTACCGAAAGAACCAAGAATATAAAATACTTTGTTTTGTTATTGTTTTGCAATAGCATTAATCTGATTAGTGCATGCCAAAAGCAGTATATGTTTTATATGTTTTAAGTGACAATGGTAGTTAACTAAATTTGTTACGAGTACATGTTCACGACAGCTGTATTCTTATTGATGGGCTAAAGACGAGTAAAATCGACATCACCAGCCGCGATGTCGACTCGCGCTGGTTCTGGCCGTGCGTGTTTACGACGCACGGCCACGGAGGAGCGGAAAGAAGGGAACTGAAAGAGGAACCGTTCTTTGTACTGCTTCCTTGCGCTTGCGTTATGTCGAGAAGTTGTTTGGGGGAAGGGGTGATTCACGGGAAGAGAATGTGTCTTAGGTCTTCATCAAATAAGCACCCGAGGTGGATAGATAATGATATGCTGGATTGTATTTCAAAAAAACGTTTGCGCCCAACCAGGGGTTGGCAACCTGTGGCGCTGGAGCTGCGTGCGGCTCTTTAAGGGCTGCTTCAAGAAGATGTTTATTCAGGACCACCGTCTCGTGTTCAACACGCGCGTTCAGGCCGTGAAATATTGCGGATTCTTTTTGACCGAATTCGAAAAAAATGTCACGTCTTGTTTTGTTTGCCGATCCCTGGCTTCAACTGACTTCCAAAAGACACCGTGCGCTCTCTGCTGGGAAAATATTGTAATTACAAGTAACATTCCTCCACAATGTTGCTTCCACTCAACGCACACGGTGTCAAACACTTGGGGAGTGTTGTCACCGGATGGTTTATTTCCATGAGTGTGCTGTGTCATTTGAAAATAGAGCACCCATAGCATGGGAAATGTTAAGTGCTTACTGGGTAAACTTGCTGTTGATTGGCCATGTTTGAACACTGGTGTTGTTCTTGCATGAGACGGGCATGTGGGTGATTGATAATGAGAGACAATTATCGCTTACAACTTTCAGTGTATCAATATTAAATACAACTCATATGTTTTGTTTTTCCTTCCAATGCAACTTGTAGGTAATAATTATGGATTATTTTTTTATATAAATCCCGAGCTGCAGTGTTTGAGTTCAGTGAGTTACATGGTGAGTTGTGGTGTTGCAGATAAGTCCACCACCGCCTTCAACACGTGTGTCCGTAGTTGGGTCGAAATGTGAATTATTTAGTCTGCCAGAGGCTTCGCGGTGGTCTTTGTCCTCTCATGGTCTAGACACTTGCAGAAAACCTTCTTTCTTCACTTCACATCGAAACATACCGGATACGTTTTCATGCACAGTTAAGTTTCCCTTGCACACAACTGTTATAATAATAATAATACTACGTAACTATTCTGTCCAGTAATTAAAACTTATAACCAGGAAACTTCCCTCAAGTCTTCAAGGCTAGTCAGGATTGTCGTGTTAGGGTTGTTAAGCCAATTTAACTTTCTGTTATTTTCATTGTGGGAGCAATTATTGTCGGTCCCCAACTTGCATGGGGAGCAAACACTCAAATCCCACACAGATTTGTCAGAAGCCTGCCTGCTGCACCGCCCCATGCGTGTCCCTCGTTGCCCAGCAGGGTGTGTGTCTTGCACATAATGGTGAGGTCCATCAACCTTACTTCCCCATATGGCAGTGGGTAAACGCTATGCCTAGTTTCATTTCTCAACTCTATTTTGTATCCTGGAAGCCAGTACAATGACAATGCAAACACCAAAGCATGAATAGTTAAGCAGTTATATATCTTTGGGACCCTTTTGTCAGTATCAAGATATTGAATAAGGCATATCAGAAATAACAATTCATGGATTAAAATCTATTCTGATACGTGCATCAAATCATGGTTGGCTACGTACGGTGCTAAAGAAGTTCAAAGTACATACATGGTTGTAAGAATTGATTATTCAAAAATCATGAAAATTATATACATACTATTTTATATTTAGGGTAATGGAGTAAACGAGAGACATCAAACAAGACAGTACCACTCGGTTGAAAGTGAATGAATGCTGGAGTTAAAATTCGCATCCCTAAATCGTGACAATTCCTGGAATCAACGGGAAGTGAATAATTACTTGCCTAGAAGCCAATGTTCCTGTTTTTCCAGTTTTTACTTATAATATAATCAGCTCATTGCAGTCACATGGTCATATTACTCATTATTCGGAATACACCACTTTAGTTTTGTTAATGGAGCTTGCATACGTTCTACCTAATGATTTTATCTCTGTTGTATTTGCAAAATTGACTTTGCTTTTCACATCTTTGGTGTGTTTGGTTTGTCTAACAAGCAACACACAGTAGATCCAGGAACAAATTCTGCCCTGTGTTTGAAGGCATTTAGGTGGGGTAGATTCACATTCCCCCCCGCCCCCCCCCCCCGTAATTTTTGTGTTGAGATGATGGATAATTCTTGACTTAAACCTTTCGTGACTGCAGGAATTCATATTCTTTGGGTCTTTCGGGAAAGCCACGTAGATAGAAAAAATATATATCACGACGTTTCGATCGCAACACAAGCTATATGTTTTCCTGCCTCAGCAGTTCTCCCGCTATATTTGTTCACCTGATGACGATTGCTTGTGTTGCGATAGAAACATCGTGATTTATTTTTCTATCTACGTGGCTTTTCTCGAAAGACCCAAATAATTTTATGGATAATATCCATAATATTTGTTTTTGGTTAGTTCACGTATATATAAATGTGTCAATAAACCCGCCACAATCCGACAGCCAATTAGTAAGGTTTGTCACATACACAGAACGTGCCGGGTTTAACGGCACGGTCTGTTTACATTTCGGGTGGTGGCGGGTTTCACGACACATTTCCATTGACACGATATAACCTCAAACAACCTTTAATGGAACTCCTTTTATGGATAATATTGGTCGCCAAAGTCTCCGTGTTAAAGTGATGGGTAATATAACGACGCAACTACTCTTTTTCATGGAGTGATTAGAGCTCATGAGCGCGTGTGTGTGTTAGTGTGTGTGTTAGTGTGGGGAGCGATAGTGTAGCGGTTAGCGCGCTGCGCTATGAACCCGGCGACCCGAGTTCGATTCCCGCTCACGGCCAACACCAGTGACGATTATCTGAACCGGTCCCGGGCCTCCCCTAGGTCGACTCAGCCTAAAATGAGTACCTAGTGCGATGGGTAAACATCGCCGCTAGGGAGACAAAGGCGGTCGGGCGTGGTGCTGGCCACCCACCCCCTCGTGTGCCGTGCTGGCCTTCATAGGTGCTCGCTAACAGCACTTGCCCCTACAGTCTGTTAAGGCTATAAGGGGGATCTTTGTTAGTGTATGTGTTTGTATGTTAGTGTGTGTGTGTTAGTGTGTGTGTGTGTGTTAGTGTGTGTGTGTTAGTGTGTGTGTGTTAGTGTGTGTGTTAGTGTGTGTGTTAGTGTGTGTGTGTGTGTTAGTGTGTGTGTGTGTGTTAGTGTGTGTGTGTGTGTTAGTGTGTGTGTGTGTGTTAGTGTGTGTGTATGTAGTGTGTGTTAGTGTGTCTGTTAGTGTCCACCCGAGTCGTGGCACCAGTCGTTATATCACCGCAGGGGGCGTGACAACAGTCTGTGCCCCCCCCTTCTGCCGTTACACAAACAGCTGGTGTGTGCATAATGCAGCATTCACTAATGAGATAGATTAATTCTGATGTTCTTTTTCCTTTCAAACCCAGGGTTTAAGTATTGTTTGCAGAGCCTTGGCTAAAGGCATCGGGCGCTTTGCGAACTAATAGGCTTAATGATGGGGAGATTAGCTATCTTGCTCTGGTATGTGTGTTTGAGCGTGAAGTGTTGTTTGTGTAAGCTGAGGATTACGGCTTTTGTTTTCACTGAAGGATTTCTTTAGCTGCTGGGCAGCTCGTGTGAATAGTTTGGGGAATTCCTTACATTGGGTTACATGGGAACGTGGAGCTTGTGATGCGCGAGTAAATTCATGCGCATGTGACCGCAGACGTGTAAGAATGCCCCTTCTGAGATTCTGACGCTTATTGAATTAAGCAGGAGGCTGATGGCAGTCGTGCGATGACATTTCTTGCGAGGCATTTCTGCAAAGGCCTATCTTGAGGCCTCCGCTCTTGAGTTCCTCTAAAGGTCAACAACTGCCCCCCTTCGTTCTTGAGTGCATGTAAGTTGAAGTTCTTTCGCACCGTACGTAGCTCACCCTGCTAATCTGAGGTGTGGGGGAAGGACAGCCCATTGGTACTTTTCAATAATGAGTCAAACACTGATTGGATGTCATTGGCTGGGAATTCTACTTGATGTTCAAGCTACATTTTTTTTCTCATTAACGAACTGAAAAGTGTCACAAGATTGTACGGTGACCCCTGATTTGTGTGGAATTGCGTTTGCGCAATGACTTATTAAAGTTCACAATAATAATTTTAGTTATAATGCAATTGATACAGAGTGCATAGCGATTATATGAAATCATCTTTCTCTGACAACACCTGCATTATAAGTCTCATAGACTCTAAAATGGCAAAGATTGGAATACTTGTGGCAGGCTTATGTTTAGTAAATTTCAGTTCAGTAACTTCTCCGCAATCTTTATTCATACTTGAAGTACATGTAAGTGCAAAAACAAATAATAACAATGGTTAATACACTTACAGAATTATGAAAAGGAAAACTGATCAAATATTATCTTAACTATACTCTTTGGTTCTTTCGGTAAAGTCACGTCGGTATAAAAAAATAAAATAAGTAATTTTTTTTTATACCTACGTGACTTTACCGAAAGAACCAAAGAGTATGGGGATCCCTACAGTCACGAAAACTTCAAATGTAGATAATCTTAACTGTGTTTAATATAGCCATTTTAACAGTTATACATATAAAAACAAATGTCGTGCCTATAGCAAACAGAGGTTCATATGAGAAAAAGGAAATTCTATTTCCAGAGATGCTATTTCTTAAACACACCCCGGTGGAATTAGCCCTGGGCACATGCGCAGGTTGCATAAACGCGACACAACACCTTGTGGTATTACGAGGTGGCCAAAAAACAACAAGTGATGTCAAATTCGTTAAATGTCGGCATGTGCAAATATTTGCACGAACTTTACCGTTTAAAAAAAGGGCTCTGCCAAAGCAGCAGCTGATGGTCGTAATTAATTTCAATGTAACATTTAAGATGTTCGCACACGGGTGCCAGATATCCACCTCATTACTCCGAGGGCAAAAGAAAACGCTCTCGCGCCTCCTTTTGTTCCCAGCCGCTACGCGAATATAATTTGCGTTAAACAAAAATGTAGTCAAACCAGAAACGTGAAAAATACTTATATAATATAGTGCAATAGCTGCTTGATATAAGCACACTTGATATAAGCTACACGTGCTGACATACAAGTGGAGGGGTGGGGGGGGCAAGGGCAACTTACGATCCAAGCACACCACTTCTGATATAAGCACACATGATATAAGCACACATGGTCTTTCTCCCGAGGGATATGCCTTTATCCCAAGTCTAGTGTATGTCATGAGAAGGTACATGCACAGTTCAATCAAGTCAATCCACATAAAGAAACCTCGATTACATTATAATCATTAGTATCGGTCACGCGCGCACTTGATCAATATCCACAATTTTGTTTATTTAAATAAGGTAAAAAAAAATCCATACTCAAACAAATGGCTATTAATGTGCAATGTTTAATATATGGGGCTTAATCGATTGTTCAAGGTAAGGAAAAAGGTTAAAGTGCAGACCTGCAATTATTCGTCCATGCCACTGCTTTTTTCCCTTTTCGCGAGTGCGTGTAAATCATCAGTCCAGGTTCAAGTTTGTGATTCATGCGATAGCTTTGGGAGTAGCGCGACTGATACTGTGCAGTCCCCCGGAGAGCGGGCGTAGAACGACGCAGCCGTTCGCGATGCGGTCCACTGTGTGGTTCACCGCACCGTGGGGGGTGGTCTTCAATGTCCCGCTCATGGAAGAGGTGCCAGCAGCAGCAGCAGCAGCGAGCAGTCGCTGCTCTGAAGCGGGTTGATGGAGCCACCACGGTTTCCCTGGCAGAACAAAGCCGTGTAGAGCAGCAGGGGGGGGGCCTTCACCGAGGCTTTTATGAGGAACCTCGGGAGAACTCCACGAGAGCGTTCGCCAGCGGTCTTCACTTGACTCCGCTTCACCCAATTGTCTCGTGCGGCGATCCCAGATTGGTTTCGGGGATCTCAGGCGGAGGGTCGAGCAGGGCTTGGTGTCACGGGCAAGGTTTTGCGCTTCCTCGGATTTTTCCCAGTTTGATGTTGTGGTATCCCACCAGAGATTTGCTGCCATAATGTTGGCCACAATGGGTAGCCACTCATTGCTGTGGTTAATGAAACATTGAGTAATCACTAGAACGGTCAATATTTTTGTCATGCTTGTTCATGTCAGGTTTGTGTTTTGGGGGTATGATCCAACATGGGAAAGTAGAGTTTGGGAAGAAAATCTGATTGTGGAAATAGTGTTTTGTTTCTGGCATATCGTTTATTAACAGCCTTTCACTTTTCTTATCTCATGCGAATTCAGCGTGGCAGTGTCCCCAGTACAAGCGGAAAAAATAACAGCGGTGAACAATGCAAGGAAACGTGTCATGAAAATGTGATCTCGTTTGCTGTGAAAACTGTCATAATTTATTATAATGGATTGGAATTTGCAGAGGCAAAGACCCTTTTAATGGTATTAAGCCAGAAACTTCTGGGAGCCTGGGTTCAAATTGTGCGTGGGATAAGCAATCGTTTGGATTATCTTATAAAGAAACAATGTTTTTTGCAACATGTAATTATTAACGATGTCACTCATATTTTAAAAATCCTCAATCACTGGTGGTTATACTTGAATACAAAGTGAATGGAAAATTTGACTCCTTGGCTTGTATGCACCAAATAGCTTACATTTTAATTCAGAAAGCACAAACAATTAAGGTCCTGATTGCCATGAAGCTAGAAGTCAAAACTTACCCCACCTGCATGGAGTTGATGGTTCCGTTCCCTCGGACCTCTGCGCAGAGTTCACACTCTTGTCGTGAGTTGGTCTCGTAATGACTGTAGTGACTGTTGTCTTCCAGCGTAACAGCCCAAACCTGAAACTTGAAAATTCAAAAGTCAAAAAGCACCTTTGCTCAAAGTAGAAATTATATGGTGCTGATTTATGTTGGTGGCCCTGACTCAGTGGTGGGAACAACTCTCCCCAGAAGACAACCTCTTTTGAGTTCTCACATTGGTACCTGTTTCATCAATCTTAGATGGGTGATTGGTTGAGTTAATCACTCACCGGGCGAACATTCTGATCGTGAGTCTGATAGTCAAATTCCTTAACCGGAACACTACGTTTACAAAAAAATACCCAAAACTAATGGGTGACCTGTCGTTCCTCACTGTCTGCTTCGTCATCATACAATCATCTACGATGTGCCTCTGACATTTGCAGGGCAGTTTGAGTGTGGAAACAAGCGCTGCCAGGAGTCGGAGGGCCTGAGAAGCTGGGAGGTGAACTTTGGTTACGTGGAGGCTGGCGAGAAAAAGAACGCCCTCGTCAAGCTGAGTACGCGTTTCCACGCAGCCGAATATTATTTACAACTCACAACATACTCTGACAGCCTTACTTCTACCACAGCACATACATACACATTCCCTCACCACTGCAGTGCCCGTAGTATGGTAATGCGATTCTCCTGGTGAGCGTGAAATTGCACCACTAGTGTGGTCTTTAATGTACTGCACTACAATCTCATCATTCAAGATTCCATTTAGAATTTTTTTTCGTGGTGTTGTTAACCCAGCATCAGCCACCCAGCTCACCTTAAAATCAATACCTGGTGCTGTGTGCACTGATCATTACTGGATGGATACTTGTGGCTGGCTGTGATGCCAGCCTTAATGGTTGCTTGTTTAAACAAATATTATTCCCACACTTAACAGATAATATTGTGGGTTCACTTGCTCTACTGTGATCTTGAAGGTGACATAAGTCACGACGAGGCTCTGCACCTTACAGTCAAGGTAATTTAGGTCCGTGTAATATTGTGCTTGTTAAAAGTTGTGGTTAACGGTCAAGTACATATCATTGGGTGAGTGAAGTGCTACTCAACTGAAAGGGCCTCTGACACGTGCTTGCCGTGGGCCTTCTTAGACGGCCACAGGAGGCCTATGGGCTTCACAGAGGTCATCATGGCCACTGACATGACCTTGTCGTAGCACGTTCAGCACTTGATGCAGAGGTCCGCCACTCAATTCCAACGGCCACCCTGAGTAATGGTGCGGGTGTAATGGCTAGAAATACACGCCGCCTTGAGTCCAAGTGGACGATAATGATCCCGTGACGTCACTTGCAAGAGCAGGCCATCGTGTGATGATGTATTGGTCCACATTTGCCAACTTAAAAGAATTACCCACAAATTACTCATTTGGAATATACATAGCACTGATTGTCCCCGACTGTGAAACACGTGGCTGGACTCTCCTGTAAAAGAAGTATCTTGAGACTCAGCGAGGCTTCCCTTGCTAAACGAGTGTCATACAGTCACTTGTGCCATGCTCTCCCCACTAGTCTGGGACCAAAATGGTTGTAATCGTCAACGTGTTTCATGTGTTTCACAGTTCGCTTTAACGGGGGTTTGTGGGATTTTCAAAGCAGCTAAACAGGCTAACACCCCCTGATGTGATTAAAGTGTACAGCTAGTTAAATGAAGCCTGATAGAGATGGACTGAAAAACTTAGATCCAAACAGGACATACTCATGTCTCTTCGGGCCGTTCTTGGCATCATTTGTGTTTTGAGTGTCCATACATGTCTATTCATGTGTGTATTTTCAGGACTCTGCCCAGAGTGTTCCAACAAACTCAATTACCATCACAAGTGAGTGCCAAATGTCAGCCTCCTGCAAGCACCATGCTGGTTTGATAAACACACATGGGCTTATTTTGCCCTTGCTCGCAGAGTTAGTATATTAGTATGTCCTGCCAGCTAGCTTTATCCCATTAATGTAGATGTTACCAAAATATCACGTAAACATTAGACGTAGTCTGTGCGATATGTAAATTGTTTGCCCAAGGCTTGGGGGGGGGGCATAACTTAGCATTGCTGGTAAATTCTATGTCAGACTTGTTGCAAATATGAAGTCATCCCTGTGAATGTGCTCGCTGCACATTCTTGTGTTCATGAGAAACAATTACTGTATTTTTGGCAACACTGAATTATTCGTCACAAAGCCTGAAATGGCACAGGTACAAGCACGCGTTGTATTTCTTGTAATAGAATCATTGCTGTGTACATCACCACCAGTTTGTGTCACTTTTTTACTTCTTACACTTCATACTTGGGGAAGTCTTCATCCAGCAGTGGATTGATCATGGCTGATGAGGATTCTGACGGTGAAGAAAGTGCGTGTTTAAGAAGTTCGTTGTACGTAGAGTGAACCAGCACTGCACGCTAGATCCCTTCTGCACTGGTAAAGCCACACCGTGCCCCATTAGAAGAGCCAGAAGTGACATCATAGAGCTTTACTTGAGTAGTCTATGGGGGGGTCTCTCTTAGTCAATCAACCGTGCTTGTCAGATTTTGGGGTTCTATCCTAGCATATGATGGCAATACGTTCAGGAGCTAAATGCCACTGTTGAGGTCTGCTAGCCACGATAGGACCTCAGGAGAGATATGTGTAGTTTTGCTCTTCCTCCATTGAAGGAGTGTAGACTCCAGTGTTTTACTATATGGTTCATAGCAGGAGTTGCATGGCTTCAATCGTACTGTGCCTTCCTTGTCTTGAAGTTTACATTCATGATGTACCGTTAATGGTTCCACCAGTGTCTTCGCGGAATGCCAATGCCAGGATGAGGTTTGATGTTTGCGTCTCGAGTGAGGAGGTGTTTATCCTTGACATGCGCGTAGTTCCACTCTGTTCGGCAGCGTTCTTCCGGGTACGGGTGAGATTCTAGAATGGTTACTGCAGCGCGGTCCCAGAAGGGGGAGTGGGACTTGATTCTCGGATGAGCATTGTAGAGGTCTTGCTTCATGGGTAGGTGGTTGCTATTTCCTTTGCAGTTTGCACGATGTCTCTGGATATTTGGTTGCAGAATGTTTACCAGAGCAGGGCGCCAGGGGATTGGTGTCGGTTTCAATGTTCCAATGAAGGTGTGCATTGCGTTGTTTAATTGTGCATCTTGCAGTTTAGTGTGCGAGCTTCCGTACCAGGCTGCGGTAGTTTAACAACACATCAGCTGAGGTTCCCCAGATTATTCCTGCAGGGTTTATCTAACTTTTTGCATGAGTAAGTGGTTTGTTCACTGTATGCCTGAAATATCAAGGTACATAATGGAGCTGAACTAAATTGAGCAGAAACCCCATTTGCTGTGGGTTTATATGCTATCATTCAGGATCAACTTCCCACATCCATTTTTTGGTTTGAGGCCAAGGATTCATACCTAAGCACTCAGTGGTGTTCTCAGTGTTTTGGTAATGAGAGCAGTAGCTTCATGATTCATCCATCCGACAGCCTTTTTGTAAGTTATAACTGGACATCGGTGTCACCACCCTACGGTAGATGACACATTTAAAATGTTGATAAAAACGCGTAAAAATAAAAGCAACCAGTATGTAATTTAACTTCGAAGGGCTGATATAATGAGTGTACTTTCTCTTCTCTTTGGCATAACAAGGATTAAACTTGTATCCCCCCCCGATATTGGCTGGTTCCTCTGTTTGTGTGGTCCAGCCGGTAAAATTGCTGATGTCAGCTCTGAAACATACAGGGACTCCTCTACTTGCGAACTTTCAGAGTTACGAACAAACCTGTCCATATGTCCAGTTGCCTGTTAGGACCTACAAGAGATTATCCACCGATTAAAGCCATTCCCCGTGTTTAGTGGACATGCCATACAACATATTTAGAATTGACAGAAGTAAAGTTGGACTTACGAACAAAGCGACTTACGAACAGACCTCTGGAACCTAACTTGTTCGTAAGTCGAGGAGTCCTTGTACTCCCTTGTTGATGGACATCGCACCCCCCTAGTGTTCACTGTGACCAATACAAATTTTCTTCCTTAAAGCAGATTTAATGCGACTTAAAAACGTTCCATTAAAACACAGGATTGCTTGCCAGACACTTATAAAAGTATTTAATCTGCTTTTAAGTGCCTATTAAACACTGACACAATGTGCAAGGGTATGGCATGGCATACAACATTGTACTTTCATTCTCAATTTTTGTAAAATATAACTTATCAAGAACTAAATGCCCATTTACAGAAACAAATGAATGTGTTACTTAATAATCCATTGCGTTGGCAGAAAGAGAGAGGTGAAGAGGAAAAGAAAGGAAGAAAAGGAGGAGGAGCGGAGGATGCGTAAGGAGAAGCGGCGTCGCTCCCACCACGGAGAGGGGACTCTGTCAGACACCGTGGATGATGAGGAGGGTGAGTCCCCAAACACTTGTGACTTGCCAACTCTCTAGAACATTCACAACAACAACAGTTGCCATTCGTCAAAAACAACAGCAGTCATTCGCCACAAACACACACACGCATTTATTCACAATGGCACATGTGGGAGCAGTCTTTCATTTTGGATAGCCCATTGATCCAGAAAATGTTTGGAGTTGTTGCTTGTTAAACAAAGAGCTGTTGTGCAAGGAAAACCAATCCAAACACACTCCTACCGGATGCCGATTTCGGCTCATTCAGCCTCAGGGAGGCATAGGCCAGCATCAGAATCCATTCGAGGAGGTATTTAACTGTATCATAACACCGTGCAATAAGTCCCATGCCGCCAACTCACCGTGGAATTTAAACACTTGTATATTCATACAATCCTCACAAAATATGTTCAATGATTATTGATTCTGATGAGTGCCATTTAAACCCGTATTTCCATTCTTCAGGGTCTTCTTCGGATGAGAGCAGGCAGCAGGTCGATGCAGTGGCAGAAGGTAATATAACCGTCTTCATCCCTGTTGTATTCGTACTATAATACTCTGTTTAAAAATGCAAACTTCATTTGCTTCTCCACAATACCGGCATGACTAACAGCTTTGTGTTCTGATTATACTGGATCATTAAGCAGCTGGCATTTACTTGACACTTTATGGCATGAGGGTGGTATTGTTTTTGTTAGATGATACAGTTACACATCTTTCTTCTTAAACATTACACATGTCTTATTGCTGACACTTTAATTCAGTAGTTTGAGTCATTGCCTTTTTAAACTGATGAGTTATCTTTATTGCACAGAAAACCTGTTGAATATATAGTTCTGCAGGGACATTTATATTGTATTGCATCTTCATTGCAAGTAATGCTTAAATGTGGGTTCTGTCAAACTAAATAAACTCACAATGGCCTACGTTAAGAATTTCTATTTTTTGCTTTGTCAGAATAATGAGCCAGTACCATTGAGGCCTTGGGTTCACAGTATTTGTCAGCTGCCTGACCTTCAGCCAGGTTTTTATGTGTACCATATTGATCATCCCGCCCACAAGGCTGCATTTGTTGTTTTCTGAACGTTAACACATGCCGCGCTGTGTACGTGGTGGCAGGGTCTGGAGCAAGCAAGGAGCCCAAGAAGCCCAAGGAGATGTCAGAGTCCGATTACTGGAAGGGCCCAGTGCAGGAGACCGAGGAGAAGTGCAGGTCTGTACAAATCTCTACTCCCCCGTGACTCGTACACGCTATGGCATTCCGCGTCATCATCTGTACCCATGTGTCACATCTACACCCATCGTTCTCTACCCGTTTAGCCCATCTCTACCCATGTTCATCTAACTGTACTGGTGTGACCGTGCTGTATCCAGTCTTGCGAAGGTTACATTTCAAAAATAATCACGCCTTTGACTGATGGGTTTGAAAAGTAACTCCAAATAATCCTATGTTTGGTATTTTAAAAGTGATGTAATCTCAATGATTACTTTCAGTCATGGTCGCTTTTCGTCAAGTTAACATTTTATCTAGTTTCCGTAACTGGGAGAGTAATTTTGCGAAACTGTACTACGACTGTAGGCTTCTGCGGCATAAACTCGATGGCAGCTTTCCTGTTATTAACCCGTGGAATCACGCGTGACAAGTCTGTTGTACTGTAATACGTTTGTCATGAGCCATGTCTCGACAACTCTTTCCTGTTTTTTCGAGTGGCTGTCGCAAGGTGCAACGTGTAACGGATCGTGTTGTTTGTTTCAGGGAGGATGAGTTTGAAGACTACTTTGAGGACATGTTCCTTTGAGAAGCGGCTGCGCCACTCACTCCGCGCTCGGCTGGTTTCCCGCACCACTTGCAGGGGGCCTTCCTCGCCACGTTCGACACAAACTCTACCACACCACGTGTGGTGCACGCGCGTTACTCGGGAGGCACGTGACCTGGCATGTCAAACAAAAATCATGAACCCATTCTGTTTCAATTAAACTCGTTTCACAGAATGACAAGGTGACAGATATGAACTTTAACAGCATTTAATTATACGGCTCGTGTGATGGTAAATTGGAGAAGAGAACACAATTGTGAAAAATGATGGATGATATTGGTCGCGAAAGCCTACGTGTTAAACAGACACAATTGTGTGCCTTTCAAACTGGCCAGTTTTGTTGTTGATTTTAGTGTGTGGTCTAATTGGCACACCTTTCTTGAGGGGAGGTTGGATTGGACTATTAAAGAATATTAGCCTCCAGCTTCTTACATGCGATGGGTTTCCCCTCAATGACACTCGGAGTGATGACTCCACCACTTAACGCTTGCTTCCCGCTGTCGTTTGTGCAAATGAGGCCAGAATTAATGCTTCTGTAAATGCTTAATCCCCCATTATCCTTGTACAGGATAATTGTGATATGAATCCCGCTGCAAGGCACAGTCAAGTTGCAGCATTGTTTGTTTACTTTGTGTTCATTTTTGTGAAATACAAATTCAATTTTACAGTTGAATCACCCCAGATTTGTGTTGTGTTTCTCTCTGTGAGTGCAGTTAAGTCTCGATTTTCCGTCGGCAGATTATCTGGATTGAGGATTAACCGTGCTTGCAAAAATATATCTTTACACATGCGATGGAACGGTCGTCTTATTCGCCGCTATTACGTTAAGAAACAATAACAGATGGCATGATAGGGCTTCACCTCCATTTTCCATGGGTATACAATACGTTTCTATCGTCTAATTTATACATGACTTGTGAAATCTTTGTTTTTCTATTTTATCCGGACCCTCCTTCAGTACCGATATTCAAGAACTGACTCGATTTTCACTTCGCTTTAACACGAACCGTAACGAATCGACAGTGCTGCATGATGTACATATACTGTCATTTTAGTACCAGCTACCTTCGAGGCAACTGTGCTCATTCTCTGACATGCCAAACTTTTGTGTCCCTTTTTGGACATTCACACTTGAGAGTAATCTCAAGTGTGAATGTCCAGGTGTGAACACAAAATGTCATTGAAATATATTACCCACATTATTTTTCAGAATGTCTGGGCAGCCCCTTGTTTGATTAAGTTATTAACATGCTAGCTGCCCACTAGTATACAGTATTGGGTAAACTGTGACATGGCCGAGTGATAGCGCGCTCACCACTTGTTGCAAAGGTTTACAGTTCAAATCCAGTGGCCGCCCTGATTAATACTGCAGGTGTATGAACTGTCAAAAATATACGCGGTCTGCTTCAGTGTCATGGTCCAAACTTGAAAAATCACCCGTGAACTAATTGATTGGGATTATACAAAGCCAGTATTGCCTGCTCTGGTGGACCACATAGCTTGTGTAATTGGTGATTTCTGGCTTCCTTCCCACTCGCCTGGTTTCTTGACCTAACGAGCCAGATGGACCACATGCCCCCCTTTCGTTGGTAATCTTCCTGCTGATCTGAAATTAGTCATGAGAATATCTCAACCTCTGAATTCAAATCAAAACAACCACGGTGAGAAAAGGCGCAGACACATGAGTGGTGTGTGGAAAATAACTTGGCATGTATACACAACCAGAAAGTCTCGCAAGATCCCTGACTTTCGTCTGCATTTCACGTGCGGCACAAGTGATATTCTGTGGAAAAAAAATGCCTAATGCTACTCGGAGCCAAGAGAATTTGTAAATCACGTAGCAGATCACCCCTTGTGATTTAATTTGAGTCTTGTGCTTCCCCAATTAAAGGCGCACACAGGCTCAGTCACACGGCTGCTTGTCCCAGGGCCTGCATGAAAGAGCAGGTTGTGAAGCTGTTGCGTTGAGGTGGGGGTTTTTTCAGGTCAGTTTTGTACTCGCATTTAAACCTCTCCCTAATCCACACACTGCAATGTATGCCCCCTTACCCCTCGACATCATCTGGTGCCCCAAGATGATGGGGTCTGTTATTCAGACACCAAGAGCTTACTAACTCCAAACTCGTGCCCTTGCTGGCGTGTGTCAAGAAGGGGGAGGGGGTTTGAGAGAGCAATGCTATCCCCTTTTTGCAGTCGTAGCGTGCCTCCAGCCCAGCTGGAATATCTGTCTCCGAACTGGGAATAGATCTTGCCATGTGAGCCGCTCCATGGAACAAAAATGCTCCCATTTTACATCCACTTGCTGAAATTTCAACGATTTCTTTATCAGCAAAATGACCCACGTACATTTTTTGTCTACCACCCTCTATTGATGGAGCAATTGCACGCAAACATAGCAGGGCCTTGCTGATGAAACTAAAAGTGTAAATCAGTCCAAGGCTGTGATTTAAACAGATTATGTTCGGGAAGAATGTAATGTTTCAGCGGATTGTGTTTCACATGTACTGTCTGCATATCTGTATGTTTGTGAAGCAGTTGCGGAACATTGTATTTGATCCATGCATCGGTGTGATGTGGGAATAATACTGCGATTGTTTAAGAGATGATTATGGGTAATTGGAATTGTATTTGGGCTCTATATTAAGTTAAGGTCAGTGTTGAGGTACTTGGCACACGAATCAATTCATTTTGAAGTGTATACTCGAACACGAACAGGTCACGCCTCCATCATATGGTACATTTCCATAAGGTTGTTTACACATGGAATCTCACTGGTTTTCATGTATTGGTTTTAATGGCACCTCTATTTATGAACTGTTCCGCGTTACAGACAACTACGTAGAAGATCTATCGAAGTACATTCGTAAATGTGATTGGCAGCACTGCGCCATTCGATATTCATAAGTTCAAGAAAGAAATGTTTTATATTTGTAAAATAATGTACATATTGAGAGCTGTACATATACACATTGAGGGCTTGTAAAAGTTCACGGAGACTGAATAAATGCTGTATAACTTTTTTTTGTCGGGAAATCAATGATTGAAGAATGTGCTCATGCATGCTGGCGATAACATTTTGGTATCTACTTTGTCACTTGTGCCATTTGTCCTTCTATAAACTTTTTTGATATCGACTTTCTTTGCTTTTCTTGATCTTGCTCTTATATAGTTATTTTGCATTGCGTGTTTCTGTAACTTGCTGACCTGCCCGTACTGGACATTGTGAAAAATAGCTTCATATCTCATTTTGATGCATACGCCATTCCATGTTGTCATGTGCAATTCCCAATTATCATACACACCCTAAATTCCCATTTTCTTCCAGCAAACACATATACTGTACAGTATTACATTTACTGGCAAAAACAAACCAGATGCCATCTTCCATCGAGTCAATCCCAGCCGGGAGAAGTTTCAAGGCCTCCCCTCCCGGCCCACCTACCCCCCTTGCTGAGTCAGATGCCCCATCGCACAACGTCATGCAAACCAGGCAAGAGATCTGTGGATAATAGTTACGGCTACGTTTAACACGTGTCTCGTAGTACTCAACTGCAATGTACAACTGCACCCTTGCATCTGCATGTATTGGAACGCTGAACGTTGCACATTAGGGGCCGTCCATAAATGACGTCACGCATCTAGGGGGGGGGGGGTCAGACATTTGTGAAGATGTGTGACGAGGGGGGGGGGGTTAGAAATGTGACGTCACATCAAAATACGCAGCTTTAAATAAATATAGACAACACGTTCTACTTAATTAAATAGACTTTTTAATAAATGTTTTCTCCTACAACATCAGAGTGCAGCGCCACATTAAATACGCACTACAATGACAATAGTTTAAAGCGATTTGAAGGATGTTTTTTTTTGGGGGGGGGGGGGGGGCAGAACTTTGTGACGTCATATTTGAGGGGGGTCTGACTTTTGTGACGAGAGGGGGGTCAAATATCGTCCAAAATCGCGTGACGTCATTTATGGGCGGCCCCTTATATCAGCATCCAAGCAACAGTCGTGCTTTCTTGGAATCATCAAGTTGTCATGGACAGAAACATGACAATTCCTGATGGACTGAGAATGCCAGAACAACTGAGATTGGATTCTGATGAGAATGTAACAGATTTCAATGAGCACACTTTGAAATCAGCAGGAATGAGTTATCTTGTCTTGACAGGAACGGCGGAAGGATACAGCTGGGAAGAATCGGAGTTGTACTTTTGCCACTTATGAGAAATTAAAATAAAGCTTTATTGGTAAGATAACGTGGCATATTTCAAATAGTGTGAAAATGTGCTTGTAGTACACACTATTTAAGCTGCTATCCATAAGCAGCTTCTGCACTTTGAGTACCGGTATCAGACAGGGATTTCCTCCTCAAATGAGCATTGAAGGGGTTCTCGTCTGCTTACAGCCCTGAGCCAGTGGTGGAAATTGCACGTTTTTATGGCGGGGGCAAGTTAATCCATAGGACTGCCACTGATGGCTTCCCCACAAAGTGGTTACTCATCGACCCCGAGAGGCACGGCGGCCAGGGAGTGAACTCGCCACTCCCGTTACAATCGTGAGCCGCTCACTCGACCGCCTCGCCGCCTTGTTGTCCAGGGTCCCCAGGAGAACCTCACGCCGAGGCTCAGCGGGAATTAGCGGCGGACGGATTTTGGTTCTTAATCTCCCTGTGACGCGGGCGCTTCCATGCGGCACATAAAGCTCGCGGCGCGAGTGGCCAAGCCCAATGAACGGAACACAGGAGCCTGGCAGCAGAGCTCCACGTGCCTCCCTCCAGTCCACAGCTTCTCGGCGTGCGCGTGTGTGGGTGACCTCGTCCTCCTAGGTGTGCACGTGTGTGTGTGACCTCGACCTCCTAGGGGTGCACGTGTGTGGGTGACCTCGTCCTCCTAGGTGTGCACGTCTGTGGGTGACCTCGTCCTCCTAGGTGTGCACGTGTGTGTGTGTCCTCGCCCTTCGAGGTGTGCACGTGTGTGGGTGACCTCGCCCTCCTAGGTGTGCACGTGTGTGGGTGACCTCGTCCTCCTAGGTGTGCACGTGTGTGGGTGACCTCGCCCTCCTAGGTGTGCACGTCTGTGGGTGACCTCGCCCTCCTAGGTGTGCACGTGTGTGTGTGCTCGTCCTCCTAGGTGTGCACGTGTGTGGGTGACCTCGCCCTCCTAGGTGTGCACGTCTGTGTGTGTCCTCGCCCTCCTAGGTGTGCACGTGTGTGTGTGTCCTCGCCCTTCGAGGTGTGCACGTGTGTGGGTGACCTCGCCCTCCTAGGTGTACACGTGTGTGTGTGCTCGTCCTCCTAGGTGTGCACGTGTGTGGGTGACCTCGCCCTCCTAGGTGTGCACGTCTGTGTGTGTCCTCGCCCTCCTAGGTGTGCACGTGTGTGTGTGACCTCGCCCTCCTAGGTGTGCACGTGTGTGGGTGACCTCGTCCTCCTAGGTGTGCACGTGTGTGTGTCCTCGACCTCCTAGGTGTGCACGTGTGTGTGTCCTCGACCTCCTAGGTGTGCACGTGTGTGTGTGTCCTCGCCCTTCGAGGTGTGCACGTGTGTGTGTGTGTGCTCGTCCTCCTAGGTGTGCACGTGTGTGTGTGTGCTCGCCCTCCTAGGTGTGCACGTGTGTGTGTGTGCTCGCCCTTCCAGGTGTGCACGTGTGTGTGTCCTCGCCCTTCGAGGTGTGCACGTGTGTGTGTGCTCGCCCTCCTAGGTGTGCACGTGTGTGTGTGTGCTCGCCCTTCCAGGTGTGCACGTGTGTGTGTGACCTCGCCCTTCGAGGTGTGCACGTGTGTGGGTGACCTCGTCCGTCATCCGGTCTTGGCCGCCCCCCTAGGTCGTCTCAGCCTCAAATGAGTACCTGGTGTGGTGTGTAAGCGTCGCTACTGAGGAGACAAAGGCGGTCGGGCGTGGCGCTGGCCACCCATCCCCTTGTGTACCGTGCCGACCTTCACAGGTGCTCGCTCACAGCACTTGTCCCAACAGTCTGTTAAAGGCTACACCGGAGGGGGGATCTTTGTCTTTGTACTCGTGCGTAGGGAGCACAATCTGCACGTCCGCTGATCCACGTGGATGAATGTTGCGACTGGTGTCCCGTACGGCGGACGCTGCCTCCGACTGCTGCGCTATATCGCAGATGTTCCGTGTCTATCACATCGTACCCTATATACATAACCCACCCAACGCATGTCTCAACACAGCAGAGGGATATTGTGTGCGTTGTTCCGTTGCTGTGTCGTGGATCCTTACACCAACGTGTGTGTTTGAGTAGCTTCTGTATATAGTGCGTGCTTTCGGGGTTGAACATGTTTGTTGTGATATCTAAAAAACAAATTGCAGTGAAATTGGTTGTTCATTTTTGAATCGAGAAACACGCTCTTGAGAGACGTGACGAACACGGGATAAGTAAAATCGGAAATAAATAAAGAGCTCGAAAACCCTAAAGCAAAAGGTGTACAGGGATTTGTGAACGTGCACATCACGGGAGCACTCTCATGGGCAGCCTTAATAGGTGCTCTCTAACTTAATAGAACATCAGCGTCGGGGAGAGACAAAGGTGGCCGGGCGTGGTATACGCCAGCACCGCTCCCCTTCGTAGGCGGCGCTCCCCCGCGAACAGCACACGGCCCCCCGCGGTCCGCTGCGGGCTCCACGGGGCATCTCTCCCGGTGTCTCCGCAGGGACGTGTCGCCATGGCGCCGCGCCACGCGGCCTCCTCGCTCCTCGCCCTCAGCCTGGTCGCTCTGCTCGCCCCGGCGCGCGCCAACCGCACGTGCGCGGTGGACAACTTCCCCGTGGTGGACAACTTCGACAAGGAGCGGGTAAGGCGCGGGCCGACGAGCGCGCGCCGTGCCCCATTGAGCGTGCGACGCAGAGGCGACACGCCGCGCGTGCCCTCGGACGTGCGGTCCGGGCCGCACACAAATATGATTTGTAAGCGCCGTCAATGAGAAGAAGAAGAGGGAGACTTTGATCCCACCGTGAGGAGCACGCTCTGGTGACGGTGCTGCAGTTGTTTCGTCACTTACAGCTATGCCGCTCCACCGACATCAGATTCTGGCATCATTTGTTCTCGTGAGCAAAGTTGCAAACGCCAGAGCCCGTGGTCCCCAGCCCATGTCGTATGTCCCTGAGATACAAGACGCTTTCGGTATTTTGGGAGGCAACTTAATTCGTAAAACCGTGGACGCTGGCATTATAATGCGTTGAAAGTTGAAAGGAAAAAAAATGCTTCGCTTAGTTGGCGTGAGCAAGGCTCACGATGAAGTGCGATGGAATGAGCTGAGCGGATGTCACGATGTGCCATGGCTCTGAATGTCTGAGTGGAGACAATACATCCTGGGGCCTCCAGTCGTGCACTCCGGCCTCAGGCAAAATGTGGGATTCTCAGGTGCACCGAGGTTGATCGCGTTGAGGGTTGTAGGTAAAAAAAAAAGATTTTTGTTATTTCAATTGCAAAATGTAACCTATGATTAGAAATGCGTGTTACGGGGGGCGGAGGAGCGCCGCTCACAACAACGAGCGGCGTGCCGGGCGGCTAAAACGCAGCAAGTTGGCACAGTGGGTAGCACAGTTGGTGCATCTGCCAGTCATCTCAGTCACTCAACCCGTAGCATCTGGGTCTGTCACGTGACCTCCTACCAGCGAGCCTTGGACAATTTACGTGGCCTCATGATGCACCTAGCCTGGCACCAGCGCTGTGGTGACGTCACCACCACGGTGGCGAGTGTTCACTACCTCGCCTGGTATACGGGAGGTCGTGGGTTCGATCCCGACCTTGACGCCTGCTGCTGTATATTTGGAGTTTGCGTGTCTCCCCGTGGTCGTGTGGATTTTTCTCCGAGTCCTCCAGTTTTTCCCTCCACATTTAGAATCAACATCACGCGTTTAGAGTAATTAGATGATTTGGTTGATATACATTTCCACGTGATAAGCCACTTCGTTGAGCTATCATTTGTGGCCAGGTGGCTTCTGAAAAAGACCTCCATAGCTCAGTGGGCCTTATCTGGTGGATTTTTTGTTTTATTGGTGAACGACGGCTGTTGTTATTGTTTTGGGTCGTGCCGTAGTACCTGGGCAAGTGGTACGCAGTCTCCAAGAAGGACCCGGAGGGGCTTTTCCTGCAGGACAACATCTCAGCCGACTATACCCTCGACGACGACGGCAACTTGGTGGCCACCTCGCGTGGCCGTGTCAAACTCTTCGGGTGAGTCGTGCGCTCGCAGGGAGGACGGGGCCGGCCTGAGCTGCACCAGCGGTGCTGAATCCATCCAGCGTCTGTCGTCCGTTCGGGGGGGGGGGGGGGGTCTCGACGTGCTCCTCGATGATCACCTGAAATCTATAACCAACAACTTACCCAGATTTAACCCTGTAATGCAGAATACTGTTTGGATAGAAAGTACCAGCGTCATATATTGGGTACATGTTTTGTTTTACGTATTAATTTCAAGTCGGGGATATTTATTTGCCATCAGCTGTAACAGAAATCGCTGTCCACTTTTGTCAGCGATTGTCCTGATTTGTCTGGAGAGTCGCACGAAATGTTTAGCGATCGAGCCGCGGGTCGCGATCCACGGGCTGGCCACCACTGCTGACCACTGAGCCCAGCTTCAGCACAGCGAGAACTTGAACTGTGGTTACAAGCAAAACAAGCTGGCAAGACGATCCATTGAAGGGAGTCAACATTCACTTCAGGGGATTCAATAGGGCGGTGGCTCGATGCTTGGCAGGCTGCCCTGGTTCATGCTGCGGGAGTGTTGAGCATACAATACAAAGTGTTTAAAAACAATGTTGACACTTGACTTAAAGCTTTCGTAACTGCAGGAATTCATACTCTTTTGGGTGTTTCGGTAAAGTGACACTTCTGAGAATTTGCAACAAGACCACAATAAATGTACCTCCGGGCCCTGGAGGCCACCTGGAGAAGATTCCAGGCACGTGTTGACAATGATGGCGAACAAGTGGAGGCTCTTTGACTTTTTGAAGCTATTAACATATATTTGTGATCGTGTTCCAATGTAGTATTGTCCGTTCTTTTTCCATTAAAAACGATAGTCCCATATAAGTCTTATAAAGATGATAATTGGTTCTTTACCCTTCTATCTGGCAACAAAACTGACACCTTTTTGCAAGGAGTCATGTTTGCATAGACCGCAATACCTGCAGTCATAAATACAAACAAAAGACATAACTCTGATAATGTGCACTGTCCTTGAAGTTGATTGGTCCACACCAGAGACAGCTTTCCTTCGAGTCTAGTCTCATATGGGTTGGACCAGATGACGCCAAAAGGCGCACAACTCAAGGACAATGCACCATCACAGTATGAGAGCTCGGGGCAAGCATCTACACTATGGGGACCTCATTTGCCAGTAAAAATATGATAATTGGTTCTTTACCCTTCTATCTGGCAACAAAACTGACACCTTTTTGACATAACTCTGAGAGTTATGTCTTTTGTTTGTATTTATGACTGCAGGTATTGCGGTCTATGCAAACATGACTCCTTGCAAAAAGGTGTCAGTTTTGTTGCCAGATAGAAGGGTAAAGAACCAATTATCATATTTTTACTGGCAAATGAGGTCCCCATAGTGTAGATGCTTGCCCCGAGCTCTCATACTCTGATGGTGCATTGTCCTTGAGTTGTGCGCCTTTTGGCGTCATCTGGTCCAACCCATATGAGACTAGGCTCGAAGGAAAGCTGTCTCGGGTGTGGACCAATCAACTTCAAGGACAGTGCACATTATCAGAGTTATGTCTTTTGTTTGTATTTATGACTGCAGGTATTGCGGTCTATGCAAACATGACTCCTTGCAAAAAGGTGTCAGTTTTGTTGCCAGATAGAAGGGTAAAGAACCAATTATCATATTTTTACTGGCAAATGAGGTCCCCATCTTATAAAGATGTTAAGTACTCTGTACGTGCCGTTTAGCCACCGTGTGTGGCAAGGCGAGGCAGCGTGCTTGGTGCTGTCGCAGACTCTCTCTAAATCTTTCTCTCTAAATATCTCACTCTAAATCTCTCTCTCTAAATATCTCTAAATCTCTCTCTCTAAATTTCTCTAAATCTCTCTCGTCCGTGCGAGAGTCTCGGCTGACGTGCGGTCCCGGCCTCGGCTGTGCGCCTGCTGGGTTTGGCTGCAGGTTCTGGGAGGCGTGCGCTGACATGGTGGCCTCCTACATCGTGGCCAAGCCCGAAGTGAAGTCCAAGATGTTCATGAACTACCAAGGGCTCGCCAGCTACCTCTCCAGCGGGGGTAGGACCACCCGCAGGCCACGAGCACCACCCCTCCATTGCAGAATGCCTTTGCAAGCACGCAGCGTATGGACGTGGGAAAGCTGTAACTGATTATGCTGAACACAACATTGGCAATGTTTTTAAAAATTATTATACCAATTATGTCATTTATTTAATTACTATTCATCAGATTCTGCGGAAAAAACAATGATTTCGATTTGACCATTGTGTCTTGCCTTTGTAGACGATGAAAAAAATCATATTACTCATTAGATATTGATGAAATTACTTTAAGTTCTCACAAACCAAGGTCTGATTAAACTTGTAAACTTGTATTTACAGCGACGCTTCGCTGTAGCTCCCTGCGAAATGTTGAACCCAATCATTAATCGTTGTGAGGTTGTCTGTGTCGGGTGGAGGAGGGTATACGACACACGTTTTGCGATTAATAAATTATGAACCACGAAAAAAAACATTTCAACAAACGGCAGAGGACTCCAAAAATCCAGACCCCATCCCACGAACGTGAGTACCGGGTCCCGATCCGACTCCCTCCCCGGCGTCCCAACTCTCCTGTCTCGCGTCGCCCCGGCCACACAACCCCCCGCCCCCCCCGCACAGGAGACGACTACTGGGTGATCGACACGGACTACGACTCGTACGCGATCACCTACTCGTGCCGCTCGCGCGACGAGGAGGGTCTGTGCGCCGACGGCTACTCGCTGGTGTTCGCGCGCACTCCGCGCGGCCTGTCGCCCGGCACGCAGCGCATCGTCCGCGCGCGCCAGGACGAGCTTTGCCTGCTGGGCCACTTCACGCCGGTGCTGCAGAACGGTGAGTCGCCCCACGCGTCGCTTCGACCGTGGGCTTCAGCTTCACGTGATGGCGGGGAGTGTCGCGGGGAGCGGTTCGTGTCGCGGTTTCGCTGCGCTGCGTCTACGAACCCGGCGACCCGCGTTCGATTGCTGCTCACGGCGGACACCCGTGACGATTATTTGCAACTGTCCTGGACCTCCCCTGGGTCGACTCAGCCTAAAATCAGTACCTGGTGCTGTGTGTAAAACATCACCACTGGGAGAGACAAAGGCGGACTGTTGGGGCAGGTGCTGTTAGGGAGAACCAATAAAGGCCGGCACGGTACACCAGGAGTTGGTGTGGCCAACACCACGCTCTGCCGCCTTTGTCTCTCCAGTGGCGATATTCACACACCAAACCAAGTACTCATTTGAGGCCGAGTCGGCCTAGGGGAGGCCCAGGACCGGTCCAGATAATGGTCACTGGCACAACAAAAGCCGCCATTCGCCACTAAGTGACGGTAACGTCACCACGGCGCTTGTGCCAGTGTCGGTGCACTCCGAGGCCACGTGAAGTGTCGAAGGCACACAGCTGACACGTCACGGGACAGACCCAGCAGGTGCCATGGGTTGACTGACTGAGGTCACTGGCAGATGCACCAGCTGTGATCCCCACTGTGCCAACTTGCTGTGCTTTAGCTGCCTGACCACCAGTCCGTCATGTGCAGCGTGATCAACCTATCCAGTGTAGGTGTGAGGTGTGTGTGTACTTTGTGTGTACTTTGTGTGTGTATATTGTGTGTGTATTGTGTGTGTGTACTTTGTGTATACTTTGTGTGTGTATTGTGTGTGTGTACTTTATGTGTGTTCTTTGTGTGTGTGTGCAGGAGCTTGCCCATGAAGCAAAGGAGGGTGGCAAGGTGGGCGGAGGAGCCCTCACCACCTGCCCCAGTGCTCAGCCGACACACACAACCATAACCAGAGATGTGCATTATTCAACATATATCGACATTATATGATTGGGTATTGTGCATTTAATGATATTTAAACATACAATACATAGGTGAGAGGCTATATATAGTTATATCCTCATCAGTCCTCCGCAAGTGGTGAAAGCTAGGTCTATGAATACATTTTCCAAAAATGTGGTCAATTTTACTGTTTTATTGTTTTACTGTTGTGTCCACCCATAACAACAAGTTAATAGCAATATTCGTTTGATCTTGATTTGAAGCTTTCGTGACTGCAGGAATCCATACTCTTTGGTTCGTTCGGTAAAGTCACGTAGGTAGACAATACATCACGACGTTTCTGGCGCAACACAAGCGTCCGTCATCAGGTGGGAAAGCATGTTTATTTTATACCTATGTGACTTTACCGAAAGAACCAAAGAGTATAATATTCGTGTGATAGTATATGCATCATGCCCTCATGCTTATGCATTATGAAACTAAAAATAAAGAAATATTGAACACGTGTATGAAGATGATGATCTTTCCTTTGATACATTAAAATACAACTTCGATCCATTTCACTTTAAGTAAATTCAAGTCTTGTTGTGAGATTATATCTATTCTCTACATGCAGGATTATAGGTGACACAAATGTGAATCCTTCCTCAGTATCCATCTCATGGACAGTGAAACTACTCTATTCTCCCAAATGCTGGACTTTGCGCTTATAAAACAGTTGCAACGCTGCTCGGGTGATATATTGACAACAATGTCGGGCCTCTCTTTGCCTTCGTCTCTTTTCCCTTCCCCTTGAACAACGATCGACAGCGCCTCCAAACGAGCGTCATTCGAAAAGTATCAAACACCCCTCTGCAATTTTCAGAGAGCAGAGGTCACACAAAGCTGCAGTCGCAGTGCCTCGTGTTCTGAGTGATGGCACGCTTGCTGTGACTGACCACAGCGGGTGGGCAGTAGTGGTCACTGATGGTCAGATGGAGAGTGTGACTGGCAGTGGTCCATGTCGTTCAGGCACTGTGGCCATGCAACACTAACTGTGGGAGTGTAACAGCAAAAACGACACAAAACAATGTGACGGATTCAAACACATTCGACAATGCTGCGCTTACCAGTGATCTGCAACAACTATTGCAGAGCAGAGAATGCTCAGATGTCTCTTGCTCAAAAGAAATGAGGAGGAAGCGTCACCATGCGTTGAGAAGCTTTGGAGATGTTTAGTTCTCACCCTGTAAATAGTGGCTCTCGGTGCGCCAGTTGGATCAATAACCCCGGCAAGCTTGGCACGTGCCAACAACGTTCGCTCAGCCCCGCCGTCTGCAGCCCTGCAAAGCGCAATGTGTGAAACACGTCTCGTTCTCTTCACTCGTTGCCACAGAATGTCGTCTTCGAGCGTATCCCTCTAAGCATCACGTGACATCCATGCCACGTTGCATGCTTTTTAATTTATCGTGCAACCACTACAGATACATAGCCAAGGGAGAGATGCTGTGGTGCAATGATTATTCCCACATTGGATTTGCAATCGAAACTCAACAAAGCACGTGTGTTTGGTGATGCTGCACTGCACCACGTGCTGCACAAGCGTCATTCACAAACCCCCAACACACTCGTCGACACCGATGCATTGAAATAAACAAATATAACGAGCAACGTTCGTGAGTCGTGTGAGTCTTTATTTTTATCCAGAGGTCAACGGGTCGATTCTATCTCTCGGTGCGGCAGCCGCAATAGCGGTGGCGAGTTCCTTGAACCCTTCGCCTGGAATCCGCCCGTCAGTCTAAAGGGTTCGTCACCGCTGCGGAGGAGATCGGCGGCAGGTCGCGTGCGGTGCGGTGATCAGAATCTTTATTTAGACTGCAGGAGGAATCCGATGAGCTATGAAGCTCTTTTTCACACATGTCCGGCATGGGCGGGTCAGCAAGTTCGGTGTAGGTGCCGTCACCTTGTCTTCGTCTTCTTCTTCTGAGCCGTCTTGGCCAGCGTGCAAGACGTGGATCGATAGCTTCCAGGGCTCCCTCTAGGGGACGCCTTTTCTGCTAGCCGTGAGGTGAGCGACCAGAGTTCTGCACCTTCACCGTGAAAGTCACCAACGAGTTCCAATGGGTGACTCGGAGCGCAGTGCCGTGTGTACGTTCGCCCGTTCCAAGTCACTGCATTCTTGACAAAAACTCAATTCGATCACCGGCTACTGACGATGGGAACCGGCGAATCGATGGAGAAGACGGAGAACGCTCACCGGTTGCGGGCTCGGCGTCTCGCCACGAGAGGTCGCTGCTGCGGCAGTCGCGAGACCTGCGGCTGCAGCCGGGGTGAGGTCGCCGCTTGTGGCGGAGGTTCGCGGTTCGAGTCCAGCGGTCGCCCCGGTTAATACTGCGGTGTGCCTGAACCACAATAGTTACAATGACACTACGCGCCGCCTGCATCGTGTGCCGCAATCGTGGTCCAACTTTGCCAAATAAAATGACACCGAAGATGACTCAATTGGGGTCACACCAAAGCGGCGATCATTGCCCCCTATACTGACAACACTTTGGCAGGACCCTCCTGAAAAAAAGTCTTGAGACTCAGTGATTATGATGATAGATAACGATGCTAGATAACGATTATAGATAATGATGGTAGATGATGATGATAGATAATGATGATAACTCAGCGCACGTGCTGCTCGTGGGGGTCTGAGTGAGGAAGAGAGGTGGGGGCCCAGCTGGAGGTGGGGGGCAGCTGGAGAGGGGGGGTCAAGCTGGAGGTGGGGGGCAGCTAGAGAGGGGGGGGTCAAGCTGGAGGTGGGGGCAGCTGGAGAGGGGGGGCAGCTGGACAGGGGGGGTCAAGCTGGAGGTGGGGGCAGCTGGACAGGGGGGGGGTCAAGTTGGAGGTGGGGGCAGCTGGAGAAGGGGGAGGGGCTCGCGGGCGGAGTCGCCCATGCGGTGGGAGGGGGGCGGTGTCAAGGGGCGGGGCCCCGAGGTTCCCGCCCACGTGGGCGCCGCCGCCGCCGCTGCCGCGGGCTGAGCGGCGCAGAGCGCGCGGTGATTCCACGGCGCTCGAGGCGCAGGATGAGAGCGTGACCAGGGAGGCCTCACCTCCTCACCTCACCTCCTCACTACCACCACCTCCTTGCCTCGCTCGCTCGCTCGCTCACCGCATGCGGGAGCTGCGCGGCGTGCAAGGCGCGGCAGGAGCCCCCGGCGGGGATGAGATCGCCGGCTGCGGACGAGCGCGGGAGGAGGCGGCGGCGTGGCGATGAGTCCCTGCGGGAGCACGCGGGCAGGAGCGTCCTCCTCCTACCCCGGGGCTTGAAGCCATTTGTCTGCCGCTCGCCTCCACGCGGGCCCCACGCGACTCTGCGCCGTGTCCGCTCTGCGTAGTGGGGAGGCGTGAGGCTGCGGCGGGGAGCAGCAGCAGCAGCCCGCCACTTGAAGACGCGAGCCGACTGCGCGTTACCGCTACACGGCTCACGCTCGCTGTGAACACGGTGGGGTTTCTACAAAAATACTTAATCGATTAAGGTCCCCGCACGACCGAGGGGGCATCCAGCCATGCGCCACGCGACCGATACGTTCCTGGGGCTTTCTGAGAAGACCTCGAGATGGGATGGACCCTCTGGGGGGGTCTCGGTTCGGCCAAGGATGCCCCTCTTAAACATCAGCATCAGCAGCAGCAGCCGTGGTGTCGTCTTGTAGGAATGAGGAGCGTGGAGCCACTGACCGCCACCACGCGTGCGAGATGAACACAACGGGCCGTGCCCACCACCACCGCCACCACCACCGCTCCGCGTGCGTTGCAGCCGAATCATGAAGTCGGCGAAGGTTTGGCGAGACGCGTCCGAGCGCTCCCGCAAGCTCGGACCCGAGCTGCGTCGCGTCGCGCTCGGCGTGAACGGCAGCGGCCTCCTCTCGCTGCCCTCGGCGCTGCAGCTGCAGCAGGAGGTCGTGGACGTGCTCGACCTGGGCAACAACGCCCTGGAGGAGCTTCCCGACGCCCTGGCCCAGCTGCTCGCCCAGCTGCAGGTGCTGGTGCTGCGCAGGAACCGCCTGTGCGCGCTGCCCGCCTGCGTGCTGGCGCTGGGTCAGCTGTGCGAGCTCGACCTGAGCCACAACCGCGTGGCGGCCCTGCCCGCCGACCTGCGGGCCTTGAGAAGCCTCCAGAAGCTGTGCGCGGCGCACAACCGCCTGCGCTCGCTGCCCGACTCGATCGGGGACCTGGGCGCGCTCACGGAGCTCGACGTGAGCTTCAACGAGCTCGAGACGCTGCCCCGGCGCCTCGGGGACCTGCGCCGGCTGCGGGCGCTGGACGTGGACCACAACCGCCTCGCCGCCTTCCCCGAGCAGCTGCTGGCGCTGGCCGAGCTGGAGGAGCTCGACCTGTCCGGCAACAGGATCGAGCGCCTGCCCGAGGAGGGGCTCCGCGGCCTCGGCAGCCTCACCGTGCTGTGGCTCAGCAACGCGCACCTCTCCGCCGCCCTGCCCGACGCCTTCTGCGAGTTGCGTCGCCTCGAGCACCTCATGATGGACGGCAACGAGTTGGAGGCGCTGCCCGCCGCCTTCGGGCGCCTGCAGCGGCTCAAGATACTCAACCTGTCCTCCAACCGCTTCGCAGAGTTCCCCGCGGCGGTGACCGAGCTGTCGAGCCTCGAGGAGCTGTACTTGAGCAGGAACCTGCTGCCCGCGGTGCCCGAGAGCGTCTCGCTTCTGCGCAAGCTCACCGTGCTCTGGCTGGACAACAACCGCCTGCGCTACCTGCCCGACGGCCTGGTGGAGCTGGGCCAGCTGGAGGAGCTGGTGCTGCAGGGAAACCAGATCGCCATCCTGCCGGACAACTTTGGCCGGCTGGCCAACGTCAAGGTGTGGAAGATCAAGGACAACCCCGTGATACAGCCTCCGTACGAGGTGTGCTTGAAGGGGGTCTCGCACATCGCGGCTTACCAGAAGGAGCTCTCCAGCCAAAGGTCCGCGGCGAGGCCCAGGCTCAAGCTGGTGCTGTTGGGCGCCGAGGGCTCGGGGAAGACGACGCTGAAGAGCTGCCTGACGGAGGAGAGCCCGGGCGACGGGGGCGCTGCGGGCGACGGGGGCGAGGGGATAACCGCGTCCCACTGGGAGACGCCCGGCGACGCCGTCACCACCTTCGTGGTCTACGACCTCTCGGGAGCCCCCCACTACGAGCTGATGCACCAGTTCTTCCTGTCCCCCGGCGCGCTCTACCTGCTGGTGGTGGACCTGGAGAGCTACGTCCCCGCGGCGTTCGACGGCGCCGTGGGCTACTTCTTGCGCCTGCTGGGCGGAAAGCTGCCGGGCTGCGTGGTGTGCCTGGCGGGGACACACTCGGACGGGTGCAGCGCCAGCGACCTGGAGGAGCGATGCTTGGACATTCACCTGCGCATCGCGCTGCAGGAGCTCGGCGACTGCGCCCTGCTGAGGACTTCTAAGAGCGCCGCGGACGCCGCCATGCGCGGCGGCGGCGGCGAAGGCGACGGACGCCTCCCGGATCCTCCGGGTCCCGAGTTCCACGGCGTCTCGGAGATGAACCTGGGCGTGAGGAGCGCCAGACTGGGCTTCTTGCTCAACCACCGCCTGCAGATCCTGTCGCCCGTGCTGCCCGTCAGCTGCCGCGCCACCCAGCCCGGCGGCGGAGGCCCCGGTGGCGTGGCGCGGCTGCGCAGGCGGCTGCTGTCGGTGGCGGCGAGCGCGGACATCTTCCCGGACCTGCACCGGGCGCTGCCGGCGTCGTGGCCGCGCCTGGAGCAGCTGCTGGGCCGCGCCGACCCGGGCCCCGGCGCGCCCGCGGGGCCGCGGGGGGACGCGGCGGTGCGCGCCGCGCTGGGCGCCGGCCTCTCGGAGGAGCGGCTCCGCGGGGCGCTGGCGCATCTGCGCGCCTGCGGGAGGCTGCTGCACCTGGACGGGCGGGAGGAGGAGGGGGAGTCGGGCGACGGCGGCGGCGGCGTCCTGCTGCGCGGCCCGGCGCGGCTGCTGGAGGCCCTGAACGCGCTGTGCGAGAGGCGGCCCGCGGCGCTGCTGCGCAACCTGCGGCGCGCGTCGCGCCGCGCCGACGCGGACGTGCGGCCCGCGCAGCTGCGCCACTGCCTCCGCGGGTTCCTGCTGCACGGCCTCCTGCCCCTGCCCGCGCTGCGCTGGCTCCTTCAGCCGCAGCAGCAGCAGCACGAACAGCAGCAGCAGGAGGACCCGGACCTCATGCTGCAGCTGCTGGAGCGGCTGGGGGTGTGCTACCGAGTGCGGCCGGGCCGGGGGGTCGGGGGAGCGGCCCTGGGCAGCCCCGCGGGCGGCGCGGGGCCCGCGGGCAGCGCGGCGGGGACGTGGTACCGCTTCCCGTGGAACGTGCGGACCGAGGCGCCGCCCGCCGAGGCGTGGCTCAACTCGGCGGGGCTGCTGGAGCAGGCGTTCGTCGTGGAGCAGCTCACCATCGAGTTCCGATTCCCGCTCTTCTGCCCGCCCGGCCTCTTCTCAAGGTAATCATCTGAATCAGAATCTTTATTTAGACTGGAGGAGGAATCCGATGAGCGGTAAAGCTCTTTTTCACAGATGTTCAGTGGGGGCGGGTAAGAACGTTCCAACAACAAACGGTTAAAAAAACACGATAGTTGTGCAAATGACAAGAAAGGTAAACAAATCAGCCCAAAAGCATACAAATAAAACTAAACCATCCCCATCCTACTAGGCAAAGCCCACTGAGGTATTCACTTATTTTTCAGAAGCGACCTGGCCACAAATCACGCAGCAGATGTGTCCGGCCAGATAACCACCGCCTTCATTTGAACTCTGCGATGGATGTCTTCGGGTTGTACCCGCGTGGTTTTCTGCACGGATATTCCATTCGGCTCCCAACACCGGGAGCAAAACGTCAGACATTATTACGAAACAAACCTGCAGTACAAATCAAATCAACTTGTGTTCTCACTCGCTTGACTGCTGCATAGGGAGATTGTGAGAGAAAAATGACGGATTGGGGAGGAATTTATCCAGAAGTGAATTGATCATGACCCCGGAAATTCTCCCTCACACAATCTCAATACTTTTTCAGGAGTGTCCTACATAGCTTAAACAAATAATGTTTTTTAGTTACACAAGAAAAGGTATCTCACTGAGTCGAAAATCTTTTGTTTAGCAGGGTTCTGAATTGGGGTATTAGGCTCTTTCGATTTGTGGGTGTTTGGCATGTGGGAGGAAAGTGGCGCACTTGGAGATAACCAAGGAGGCGGAAATAGGTGAGACTCCAAGCTGAAGAAAGTTGCTGTACCACCCATCACCTGGCCACCTCTCATCTCAAGTCTGTAACACCTGCTTTTACTCAGTGGACACACTGAGGCCGATATGGTTGTCATAACATAAAGTTGACGCACAAGGCTTTTTGTGGTGTCATTTGCAAAATCTATGCCCTTAGATCTTGACATGGTTCAATTAGCGTACACAACTAAATCAATTGGTATCAATTAACTTAACTGAAAATGTAAAACCGATGCCCCTGGATTATTTGTCAGTGGGCTTAAATAAAGGACATTGAATTGATATTTTACACGACAGATCCTGAACATAAGGCCACACGGAGAGGAGCTTTGTGGCCTGCATCAGTTTGATGAGACCAGGTTTCAGGCCACAGTTTGGCCACTCTTAGAGGAGCTACAGGGCCCGAGTCTTCCATTGAGAAGTTTCGCTTTTTTTACTTTTCACACCGTGTGACACGTGGCGTTTCTCCGACTATGATTGTCTCTTCCCAGGTTGGTCACTATTAACGTCAAGGCACGATGGCTCTAAATTCCACAATAGACGGCAGCGAGATAACAACATTCAGTTGTGCCTTCCGTGAAATTCAACCGCTAACCCAAATAGTTTAGGAGAATTTGGCCATTCAAAATCTTCTTCATAAAACTACTTTTAGAAAATGTGACTAACTTCGGCGTGCTATGCACTTGTAGTCTCGTTGTGCGTGCCGTGTATGCCCTAGCATTTATTTGAGTTGACCAAAATGTACATTAAAAATAATCTAAGGCGCTACTTTATTAATGACCGGCGTGTGTTTTAATTATTGCGGGTTGCCACTAGCTGCCCTGACCAAACGAAGGCAGATTTAGCATTCTTTAGAAATGCCTTTAGACTTGGCCCAATTAAGATAACTAGGTAGAAATGTGCCACGCACACACGCGTGTCTTGCACTGCCTGATATCATTGGTGCCGCAAAGTGCAGAAGCAGCTGCTTGCTTGTATTTACAGTTTACGACAGACTAATCCGATGCACCTTGCAGGTGCCAATGCGCTAATGTGCTCTGCTCATAGGACGAATTCTCGACGCGGAAGGTGGTCTGCTGGTTGGCCTAGGGAGCTGGATGATAAAGCAGTTGATGAATGTGTGGAGGGTATGTGTGTCAGACGTGGAATGCAAAGAGTTTGTGGAATGTTTTAAGACTGTAGTGGCTGGTGTGTGGGTGGTTCCAGGGAGCCAATATGATACTTGTGTCAGAGAAGCACTGACATTCTTGTTTGAGTCCAGACTTCCACTTCAGATTAAGCCTGGCTTGTTCTAATAAAGCGACCGTTGTAGCCGGGTTACCACTGGCTTCACATATAAATGCCATTGTGCAATTGGGTTTTCCACTTAATTTTTCACTCAACTTTGAGGGCCTGTTTGGCGGATGGGCGCACCGTGGACCGCTCGCCTCAGCTGTAAAGCAGCTCTTAAATTTACAGTGACCCCAAAAACACGACAAACTAAAGCGTGTTTATTTAAACACAGTTGCCGAGCACAGGCCTCGAGCACAATCGCAGTGCTCTGGGGGGCAGAAGACAAATCTCCGACAAGTGGCCCAAGAATATTTGGTATTGCACATGTCAGCCTCACCAAACACCGTCTATCTCTATTTCCTGACATTCAGTCAGCCAACACGTACAGTACAATATAGGAGCACCGTCTAGTGTTGAGCGAGAGAAGCTTTTGCAGTGGTTTCACAAGTAGTTCAGTGGTGTTGCCTTGTGTGGTTATTTCCTGACACGATGTGATTATTCCGCTGAATGTAGGCGTTGCCAGCGGATGTTTCTCACCTCATGCCAGATATCCAGCGCCGTAGGTATATAAGCGGTGTCCACACACGTAAACACGCTAATTCACAGTAACGCCCACCGTGTTCACAGAACTAACAGTCGCAGTCAGCGGAGTTTGGGGGCAGCGTGCTGGGCGTGTGGATTGCGCGGCAGCGTCGAGCGCCCCGTGGCCTTGTGGCTGAAATCGCGATCGCGTCGTGCCGCCCCCCCCCCCCAGGTACAGCGCCCGCGTGAACCCCCACGTGGTGGAGCGCTCGGACGGGCGGCACTGCGTGTGCGCGCACCGCGGCAAGGTGCCCGTCACGCTGAGCGTGCGGCGCCGTCGCCGTGGGTCTTCCCGGGGATCTGACGTCCGGGAGGAAGACTCCTCTCCGGCCAAGCATCAGCAGCAGCACGAAGATGAGGAGGAGGAGGAGGAAGAGGAGGCCAAAGACTCGGAGCAGCCAGGAGGAGAGGGAGACGGCTCGGTAGCCGGCGACTTCGGGGACGGCGCGTCCGCGAGGAGCGGAGGCCCGGCCACCGTCTGCATCGCGAGCCACGCCACGCTGGCCAACGTGTGGACGGCCTGGCAGGCGGTGCTGCCGCTGGTGGAGGAGCTGAGCGCGCTGCTGCAGGAGTGGCCCGGCGTCCACTACACGCTGCACGTGCTCTGTGCCAAGTGCCTGCGCCGCGGGTGCCCGGACCCGCACGCCTTCCCCGGTGAGTGGACGCTTCGGGCGGGCGGGCCGAGTCTCGATCGCGGCGGCACGGGGGGCTGGCGCGCCGTGGCCATGCGCTGCTGCTCTGGAGAAAGCAGCCGAGGCACGCGTACCGTGCCTGCGTGGGGCTCGCTAAACCGCCCAATGTTGCGTCTGCGGAATCAACTGCCGGGGAAAGCGCACGGTGAAGGTTGACATTTTAAAACGTTACCGAATTTTTCCTTCGAGCTGGTGGCCTCATCGTGTCCACTGTACATGCCTTCTGTTCGACCTGAATGATAATGTGAGTGTCCCCATAATGCTGTGCAAACTTTTCGTCATGGTGTGTATTTGTTATATGTCTAACTTCTTAAAAAGCATTGTTATATATGATATGACAATGAAAGCCAAAACGTGATTCTCTCTGAGACAATCGTATTTCGTTTGGTGAGTGGTGGGGGTGGAGTGGTGGGAGGGGGTGATCAGCATTCTTTATACGTGCGTGCCGAGGTTGGCGATTGAGCCATTGCGGACGGCTTCTGGAGTAGCCGGGTGGCGAGTGGTCTGAAAGGTTGCCGCCAGCAAGCGATGAGGGCGTTGCTGCAGCGTCGTCTCCACGGTTCGAGGCTTGGTAACCGCTGTGCCACCCGGATGGCTGCTCCTGATTTTCCGCAGGTGCAGGAGATGGGTACAAAAAGAAAGTGAATAAGAATAATTCGTGGAAGGAAAATTGTATTCCTTGGACATGTAATGAGAAAACAAGAGACTGATAATTTTGAATGTTTTCGGCTGGGAAAATTGGAGGTACAGGAAGCCGAGGAAGACAGCGAATTAAGTAAGGAGATAATTGAACAATTGGATGCAACAGGGAGCAGTGTCTGATGCAAAGTTGTTGAGTAAACATCACGGGGAGAGTTGAACAGAAGGAAGGCCACGATCGCTGACGTCTTGAAAAAGGACACGGCGCAGAGAGGGAGAGTGGGAAATAGCCACAGCTGCTGTGTGGTCATCAATAACTGTGTGATCATCAATAACTGTGGTCATCAATAACGGTGGTCATCAATAACTGTGACCATCAATAACTGTGGTCATCAATAACTGTGGTCATCAATAACTGTGGTCATCAATAACTGTGACCATCAATAACTGTGGTCATCAATAACTGTGACCATCAATAACTGTGACCATCAATAACTGTGTTCATCAATAACTGTGGTCATCAATAACTGTGGTCATCAATAACTGTGACCATCAATAACTGTGTTCATCAATAACTGTGTTCATCAATAACTGTGGTCATCAATAACTGTGACCATCAATAACTGTGGTCATCAATAACTGTGACCATCAATAACTGTGGTCATCAATAACTGTGGTCATCAATAACTGTGGTCATCAATAACTGTGACCATCAATAGCTGTGACCATCAGTGACTGTGACCATCAATAACTGTGGTCATCAGTGACTGTGACCATCAATAACTGTGGTCATCAGTGACTGTGACCATCAATAACTGTGGTCATCAATAACTGTGGTCATCAATAACTGTGACCATCAATAGCTGTGACCATCAGTGACTGTGACCATCAATAGCTGTGACCATCAGTGACTGTGACCATCAATAACTGTGGTCATCAGTGACTGTGACCATCAATAGCTGTGGTCATCAGTGACTGTGACCATCAATAACTGTGGTCATCAGTGACTGTGACCATCAATAACTGTGGTCATCAGTGACTGTGGCCATCAGTGACTGTGACCATCAATAACTGTGGTCATCAGTGACTGTGACCATCAATAACTGTGGTCATCAGTGACTGTGACCATCAATAGCTGTGGCCATCAGTGACTGTGACCATCAATAACTGTGGCCATCAGTGACTGTGACCATCAATAACTGTGGTCATCAGTGACTGTGGTCATCAGTGACTGTGACCATCAATAACTGTGGTCATCAGTGACTGTGACCATCAATAACTGTGGTCATCAGTGACTGTGGCCATCAGTGACTGTGACCATCAATAACTGTGGTCATCAGTGACTGTGACCATCAATAACTGTGGTCATCAGTGACTGTGACCATCAATAGCTGTGGTCATCAGTGACTGTGACCATCAATAACTGTGGCCATCAGTGACTGTGACCATCAATAGCTGTGGCCATCAGTGACTGTGACCATCAATAACTGTGGTCATCAGTGACTGTGACCATCAATAACTGTGACCATCAGTGACTGTGACCATCAATAGCTGTGGCCATCAGTGACTGTGACCATCAATAACTGTGGTCATCAGTGACTGTGACCATCAATAACTGTGGTCATCAGTGACTGTGACCATCAATAGCTGTGGCCATCAGTGACTGTGACCATCAATAACTGTGGTCATCAGTGACTGTGACCATCAATAACTGTGGTCATCAGTGACTGTGACCATCAATAACTGTGGCCATCAGTGACTGTGACCATCAATAGCTGTGGCCATCAGTGACTGTGACCATCAATAACTGTGGTCATCAGTGACTGTGACCATCAATAACTGTGGTCATCAGTGACTGTGACCATCAATAACTGTGGCCATCAGTGACTGTGACCATCAATACCTGTGGCCATCAGTGACTGTGACCATCAATAACTGTGGTCATCAGTGACTGTGACCATCAATAGCTGTGGCCATCAGTGACTGTGACCATCAATAACTGTGGTCATCAGTGACTGTGACCATCAATAACTGTGGTCATCAGTGACTGTGACCATCAATAGCTGTGGCCATCAGTGACTGTGACCATCAATAACTGTGGCCATCAGTGACTGTGACCATCAATAACTGTGGCCATCAGTGACTGTGACCATCAATAACTGTGGTCATCAGTGACTGTGACCATCAATAACTGTGGCCATCAGTGACTGTGACCATCAGGAGCTGTGACCGTTGTTCCAATTCGTCAAACGCCTCATTGAGCAGACTCAACAATGGAGATTCTCGTAAATTCTGGTCCACAAAAATCGGTTGAGTGAGACAGCTCTGAACGCCTCATTAACCGATTGATGTTGCATATTAAAAGTGGGCAAGAGTCCGTTCAGCACACGGACGTCTCGGGAAAGCCGCGAGGACCCCAGGACACAATGGCAAGGTAATTTGATGCAGGAAGAATGTATCACGGGGGAACAGTTTTATGCAAAATCAATATGAAACCAAAACTTTATTCGTTGCTGCAAAATAACCGAAAAATAAACAAAAACTATTCCAAATTATTCAAGTAAAATCATTTAACAGTTTGTTCAATATGGTAAGTCAATATTGAAGTAATTCTTTCTGCAGAGTAGTAAAAGTAAGTGTGCAATCAGTGAACAATAGACAAACCACTTTCATTCATACGGAATGTAAGCAGATGTACAAAGCACGGATCGTGGAATGGACTGGCATTTGAGAACCAGTGATGTGAAGAGTTGCGGCGTCACCGCGAGTGCCGATGCGCTGCAGCGGTGGAGCAGTGCTCGTGCAGCCACGTGCAGCCCCATCCATAAACGTCTTATTGGCATGCGAGTGCAGAACACGGGCGGTAGAACTGGTCATCAGAGAGGTTGTTGGTCGCTGACTAAGCATTCTCCTGTGCTCCTCGCTCGAACGAGCACCTCGGTAAAGGACTCTCCGACTGTTTTAGTAAATGTTTTAGTAAATGTTGCGTTTGGTTTGAATGTAATGTCGGCCACTGCTGAGAGTGAGGCGGTGCATAGTGTGCCCAGCGCTTGAATCGGCTGTGTCGTGGAGTCTTCCCGCTACCCCTCTTGTCGTGTGTTGGAGCTGGAGCTCGGCCGATGATAAACGCGGTTTCTGTTTGGATTGGGAAGCCATCGTTTTGTACGGTCGGCGGAAAAACATCCGGTCAGTCGAGGGACTCTCTTCATAGCTGTGACTTCTTGTGTAAATATAAACGTAATAGTTTTTACACGTTGGAATTTCGTCGCCTAAAGTGACCCCCTGGGTGCTGCATTGGGCGTTTATTTTCACCACAATTTGCTGCACCCAGGAGGATTGTGTCAATCAAAGACTACTTGAAGAGTTAACCCCTAGCCCTCGGTCCGTGTCGGGCCAGGTGGCTCTACGGCAGGAGTTAAAGTCCTCGTTTGAAGAGTGGCTTAAGTCCATCACCCTTCCGGGATGGACACGAGTGCTGCTTGGCGCGTCGCCCTCACCTCTGGCTTGAGCTGCCCCAACGCAGTACAATCACCGCTGCCCCAACGCAGTACAATCATCGCTGCCCCAATGCAGTACAATCATCGCTGCCCCAACGCAGTACAATCATCGCTGCCCCAACGCAGTACAATCATCGCTGCCCCAACGCAGTACAATCATCGCTGCCCCAACGCAGTACAATCATCGCTGCACCCAATCTCATCACATCTCGGAAGCTAAGCAGAATTGAGTCCGGTTATTAGCTTGATGGGAGACTGCCTGCGAATGGATACGAGGTATTGGTAGGCTTGGGTTGCGAGGAGAGCTATAGATTCTTCAGTCTGTCTGTGCAGAGCTTGATGTGTACGGGGTTTCTCGGGACACTTTGAGTTTTCTCCCCCATGCCACACATTCAATAATGCAATTGGCCAAACATCAAAATCCATGTCCTTCCTGACCAAGTTTTGAGACCCAGCGGAGCCTTCTGAGGGATGTTATTGTTGTCGTAGTTACTGTTGGGTAGGGGCTCGGGGACCGCCGTGAAAACGATCCGTGACATTGCAGATGCCTATCTTTGGTAAATGTGTTTTTGTTGTTGTTGCATGTACACGAGATTATTTATATAAGATGAAAGTGCTCCTTGCAGATTGTTTACACCATTGGGTCCAGATCTGTGGGGAAGCACTAATTTACAACTGCATAGAAGCAGCGCAGATGTGAAAAGCAGGAGCCGAATGGGAGATTCGGCGGCCGAACCGATGAGTGCGAGGCACTCGGCGCTGCAGCCGTGCAGGCGATCCTCGCGCAACGGAACGCTTTGCCAACGTCGCCCCTTAGACTCGCTTA